TCGGGTTTGGCGCATAGAAATCTTTTAAAAAAATTTTAGATATGTTTTTTTCAACATACCAAAGTGATAGATGAAACAAAAAGTTGTTCGAATGAATCTCAAGCTATCTATTCAGTTCTAAAATTCATAGTTCGCAATTTTTGCTGCATTGACTAATCGGAGCATTCAGATTTAATTTCTCCACGGAGTCTAACACTTGCATTTCTACCAACCAAGCACAACACTTTTATTTGAGAAAATAATCCCTAAATAAGCTTGAAATAGCCATTTGCAGTCCTTTCATTTTAAGTCCAACTGCCGGAATCAGTCAGTCATTCATTCAGTCAGTCAGTCAATCAGTCAGAAAAGTAATCAATCAGTCAGTATAAGAAATAAATTATTTATTTCAAGCTGATTGGTTTGGTAGATAACATGTCTGAACTAAAGCTAGCTGCAGAACTTGGCTTTACTTATATTTTATTGGCAAAGCTGTTCAAAGTAAATTGATGTTAATCCAGTATAAAACCTAAGTTTGACCATGGCATTAAACTAGCGAGCACTAATGCTGTTGCTGGTTATGATGAGAAAATGAATCAAAGGCTAAAAAAAACAACCTGGCGCATTCCTTACACTATGACTAAGGAAAAATTTGTTTCGATAATAAATAATTGTTATCCTGGACTAACATGAATAAACGTTGAACAAGCAAGACCAATTTTTTTTTTTTACCTGGTTCACTCAAGAGCTGGATTACAAAGTAAAATGTACAGCACTTACAGTACTGAAGATAAGCTCTATTAAAATCCCAGCTGTTGAAGTCCTAATCCTGTCTGTTGTGGCATCTGATCTGAAAACAAAAAACATTAAGCCAATTTAAATTTATTATATTTTCATTCCTCCTTTTACAAATAAATATAAAAAATGGCCTACATTTCAACTCTCCTAGATTCCCCAGCAGTAGTCTCCTTGGTAGATGGAAAATTTCCCGGCTGGGGGAGGGAGGGGGGTACTCTACAGAGCTTATTTATACAAGGAGGCTCCACCCTATGGTCCAACCTCTTACCCATTTATAAACGACTCCTGATAAAAACAGTACCCCTTTCAAACTCTTTCCATCAAAAAATGGTGACCCTTTCACATACCTAATATGTAGCATTAAATGAATTAAAAGGATTTATTTCAATAAAGGGCCTTTTAAATACTTAAATGACAGATTTTTCTACCCTTTCAACTCATAATACATGTATTCCTACCCTTTCATATACCAGAAGCCTGAAAAAGGTATCCCTTTCAGGCAGAGCCCTTCTGTAAAGGCCACCATAGAGAATACTTCCTGCCCCCTCCCCATAGAGGAAATTAAGTCGCCTAGTCCCCCATACAGGTCACTAAATTACTGCTATGAGCAGGACTCATCCTGAACGTAAGTACCTGTCAAATCGACAAGTAACGACAAACACAACAAAGAAGTCAATGGAATGATAGAGCCAAGGAAAACAAAAAGATACAAAACAAAGAAGAACTTCACAAACCCAAAAGCTGCTTTTTGAGCTTTTTCATACATGTAGTTTGGAAGTCATACAGTTTCTGGAACCCTTTTTTGTGTGTCTTTCACTGTTAGCAAAACCAGATTTTTGTCCTTATTACAGTTAAAGCTAGACTTACATTAACATTGTCATAGAAAAAAAAAATGAAAAAAGCCACTTCCTTTTACTTTTTTTTGGTTAAAATTTGCTGAAACCACTGACACTCGCGTCAAGGGTATAGATAGTAAAAAAAAAACTGAAGACAAAAGAATTTTGAATCCCATGTAGACTGCACAAAGCCAGAATGGGTTGACCGAAATCAATTAATTCGTATTTGTTTCTTTTTTTAACCCGAATATGACAACATTACAAAAACGTTTTTTTTTTTAGTTCATTGAGTTGTATGTGTATGGGGGTTGGGGTGATATTTCCAGTAGCCCTACAGCTCTTCAGAACCTCTAATTGAAATGGACTCATGGGTCGCAGCTCTTTTGTCATCCGGCTAGGTTCCATTGTCAATTTTGTTCATTCTTTCAATTCCCAGCCAATCCCGTGAGGACTTCCAAGGGCTGCGAGGTTATATTACCCAATGTTGATAATGTTGCAAGGGGTGTTAATTAAGTAAAAGAAAAAGTCTCCCACTTTCAAACCTTCACGGATTCGCATCTCTGATATTTGCTCTATTGACAACCAATCAAACTGCTTGATCCAGCAAAAAAAATCCCTCATCCCAAACTACCAAAACATATATTGACTTTTCCTCTCCTTCTTCTACGTCCATTCACCTACGATCTCTCCTTACTTGGTTACAAAGTACAGATAATTCTTTATAGATAAGTCTTTAACTTAGAATGGTTATAGAGAAGGATATATAAACAAACATATTAAAGTTATTTACCTTAAAAAAGCGAATAGTGATCACGTCCATGAAAGGTTGCATTCCAAACATCAGAATGACTGATCAGAAGCTCTGCTGCCCTTAAAGTACAATAAAATAACTGTTAAGAAAGAATCAGCTTTCACTTAGGATCATTTTTTCTTAGAAACAACCGCTACAAACCTTCAAATTCAGCAAAACGGAAGAAAACCATAACTTAGCGCCATCTTTAAATTTGTGGTAGTTCCCAATTCCCTCACTATGTACGCGGTCACTATCGCGCGCGAACCCCTCTCGGTGCTTGGTTTTGGTCTTGGTCTCTTTTGGCTTTTGGAGCAACTTTTTGAGGTTCTAGTACCCTTAGAATTTCTCCCATAAATGCGAGCATCTCCTTAAAGCTAACTTCCAGCTATTTTTCTGTTAATTAATTATTGTGAAGAACAAAAAACAAAGCTTTAAATTGACATTTACATAAAAATATGCAGAATTTTAGGCAACAACTTTTGAAAACTACGAAGCAACTTTTTGACATTCCAGAAAGCCACTTTCCAGCATTTTACGAGCACGATTGGGACAGGTCTAGTCATGCAAAAAAAAAAAATAAACAACAAACAAACATCTACCGTACCGGACAGGGCTTCTGTTCACAGTCTTCGCACATGACGGAATGGTGATTTAAGCGCAGTTTCATTGACGGATCGAGGCCGCACCGCAACGATAGGGTTCTGTGCTGCTCTATGGCTCAGAGTGAGCAAAAAGGTGTTCATGCTATAATACCACATAGCTTTTCATATCGGCATGAAGAACTATCCGGTATACTGCAGACATAGCCTGAATCTACGCCATCTTTCTTTTTGTCTTATTAACACCCTTTGAAATTCCGCCTTTTTAAGACACATGTACACATAGCTTACCTGTGTGCACAGAGGGGAGCTAGCTCATGAAGTTCCTTCTTTGTGATACTTCCTTGAACAAAAAAACGCTGGTTTGGAGGATTCCGAAATGTCCAAAGCTAAAATAAAATTTCCACACTGGTATCTAATCATGGTAATTAATTCCACGTGCCACTCCTGTACGTGCTAATTATGAAATCAGAAAAGAACAATGCGCTATAATTAAACTGCGTCCGTGCGGCTGTCCGTGCCGCACTAGTTCAATCACGTGTCAAAGCAATCTTACAAACAGAAAATGAAATTAGTGCGAGTTAATTTTACTCTTGGTTAGTTTTATTACTTTTTTATGATGAGATTTCAAACAGCCAGAAGATAAATTTTGTGGTTAAAATTTTGGGCCATCCTCGTGTATTAACTGCGGTTGTTTGGGGTTTTTGAAATCAATTAAGAGTAGGCCTGAATAAAAGGTAAACTTCCATAAAGGTTCTCACATGTTTTTCTCATCAATTTGCTTTAAGGTTCCCGCGCAACCTCGTCCCCTCGGTCTTCTCGTTTTCCAATTCCATTATGGGGGATAGGGAGGAAGTGCGAGCCACGCCCTGCGAGTTCGGGGATTGGTATCCGATGACGCCATTTAAAAACATGACCCAAAATTTAGGATATTTTCCATCATCGTTTAAGCTGTACTGTTGCCTGTGTGTCTTTTTCTCTTTGACCACACCAATATTTTGAAGTTTCTTTTTAGAGGAGCTCTCTCGCGCGCGATGCGCGCGCAGCGGAGCACCATGAGTAAGAAAATTTGGTAACCCATGCATCCTAGAGATTTTGCTAGTCACGTGACCGTACGTCCGCCCGACCGTCCGCACCACAGGCACACCAATATAAAATAACTTAATCAACAGGTATGGCAACCCAAATGCAAAGGACGAAAATCGCATGGCCGCCGGGAGTTTTGGAGAGGAAAAAACAAACAATCACAAAGTGGTGTCCTTTTCGACGTTGTTTTGGATGTTTACACTCACGTGGATAACGGAGAAAGAGCTAGAGCGAGTGATTGAAAACAAAGGGGACGAATTTTTTTCAAACAAATTGGAGCTGGTCTGTCGCTTTTATAAACTATAGATATTCATTGTCAACCTCCGGATATTTTTATGTTGGTGAATATAATCCTTCTAGTTGAAGACTCAAACCGTTTCTTTTTAATAATGGTGAGTTTACGCAAAAGGACGGCGTAAAGAAGAAAATGGCCCTTCACTTGTGTGTGACAAACGTGACAGGACTATTACTTGAGGGTGAAATTTGGCGGAACACTTTTTCAAACAAAATTATGGTCACGCTTGTCACACAAGGTTTGCCGTCTTCTCTCCTCTCCCGTCCTGTCGTGTAAGTTCCCTATCGTAAGTGCCAGACTCTCTTCTCCGCAGAGGCTTTTATGGGTGGGAAGATGGGAAAGGGGAGAAGTGTTTGTATTCCCACGAGCAGCTTATTTCGCCTTTCCCCAACCCCTTCCCCCTAACCTCGTTCCCAGGTTCTCTCTACCTGTACGAGAGAACCCTGGGAACGAGGTTGCCTCTCCCCGAGTAGGGAGGGGAGGCAGACTTTGATGGCCCCTGAGAAGAAGTGTGGGGATGTGTTTACTGCAATATAAATTAAGACAAATCGCTTTATTATTAAAGAGTTCCTTTTATTTTCAATGAAAAAAAAAAACAAAACATTGATTTAATATAAACCTCATAATAAATACTTTTGTTTCTCCGTCCGACATTTGGTTGAACATGTCTCTGAACACTTTGGTGCTGATAAAACTTTTCGTTCATAAAAAGTCGACTTTCTCGAGGATGACAAATTTCTGTCCTTTCTCAGTGCGAATTTGAAATGTCTATTTTTTCACTGCTTCATTTTCTCGGTGAAGGTCCTCAAGAAACGAACTTCTAGCACAACAATAATTCAAGGCAAGCTTCCAAGAAACTTGACGTGAGTGTACTTTCAAAAATAACATTTGACCTTGAAATCTTCGCCAGGCTGCTTTGAAGCACACATCAAGTTTTCGACCGTCTTCTTTTTTAAGGGTCAGGTGACCAGATGAAGCACCTTTCGTGACGCGTGACAAGGGCAGACCGCAGCCCTTCTCAATGCTCGTCTCACGTTTGCAAGTAGAACCGAGGAGGTTAAGTACCTACAAGCATACTTGATGTTCCTCGTAGAAACCACTGCATATGATTGTTGCCATAACGCTCCAGAAGATCCTGAGGAAAGAGAAATAAATAAATTTTAAGATCTGTTTCTTGTAGCCTTATTTACGGCTCAACATGGCAAATCTAAACCTAACTGTAACTATGGCTTCTTAGATAGTCTCCAGAAGCGTTTTGACCCAAACGGCCAGATCTGAACACTTTTGTTCCAAAAAGAAAACGGTACGAATTAGCAATTGTCAACACCTTCGGATCAACTAAGGTTTATCGGAAACTGCCCACCCACCCCTCCCCTAAGCCAACATTTCGCCCCAGGTAAGAGGTAAGTGTTAATATTGGTTAAGGGAGGTGTAGGTGGGTTTCGCTGTTTTTGCGGCTCGGATCTCTCCAACGCAAACGTAATATAACGATGTCAGTAATCCTAAATCAGTTTACACTACACAAGGAGTGAGTGATATAGTAGCTTAAGGTTGACCACACTATCTGGTTCTAAGTCCCCTATGCTTTGCGAAGAGCATTGTGGCTTCTATTACGTCCCAGTTAAGCAAAAAGGCTATTAGATGGGGCCTACGGGTTTTTCGTCCTTATCTACGAAGACTATCATGTCTGAGGAGTCGCCACTTGAGAAACGAGGAGACTGGGCCGAGTTAATGTTCGCAATGGGACTGTTACTAGAAACAAGGAAAAAATGGCCAATAGCTGACCGGTGCGTCCCCGGTTCCCTTTCCGTTTCTTAAGTAGCGAATTTGTACATGTCAAAACAAAGGCAGCACTCCTACGAGCACTGGACGGAAAACAAACCGGAGCATACCGTTCGGAAGTCTGGTACCTGTTAGCTCAGTAGGAATAGTGCCGGTGTCACAGTGATATGGGCATCCCCACGTTTTGGGCATCCCCATTCCCAAAACTCTCGTAATATGGGCATCCCCTGTAACCGTAACGCAAACCCAAACCGCTAAGGTAATATGAGAAAGGGGATGCCCATATCACTAGGTTTTTGGAAATGAGGATACCCATATCACTGGAACACCGGTCTGCTGAGCAGGAGGTCCGGGCTCAAACCCGGCCGGAACATCAACCGGGGTCGTCAAAAAACTGGTAAGATCATACACGACACTGGACAGAGACGTTAAACGGCTGGTCTAGTCTCCGTCATCTTTTGTTCATCAATGACTCTCCTCAATTAAACATAAAGGTTAGGAGATGCCCGAGTCAGGAACGTCATGATTGTCAAGCAAACACTCGTTATCAGTTCTATAAGAAATGTACGGCAAAAGGTGAAAACAGGGTCCCACTGAAGAACACCTTCTGGTAAAGTGCGTTCCTTGCTAAAAATTATTACTAGGCGTTTTTGAGCTACACACATCAACCGAAAGTGGACGTCCTCCATTATTTGACAACCCTTTTGCCGAAATTTTTGGGCAAATCGTTTCTAAAAGAGTAAAGACACTTAGAACTACAAATTTGGTTGCGTTAAGGCATATAAGGGAACTTAAGCAAAGACGTTTTTTGCCACGTACGTCAACCGGAAGTGAGGCCTTTTCCCATGTAACATGCCTAAACGCTATCAAAATTGTATTGCTAAGTGTCCTTTCCCTTGTAAAGAAGATTTGCCGAACAACTGGGTAAAACCACTTCTCAAAGATGCAAAAGCCCACTTCCGGTTGAGGTACTCGCTCAAAAACGTCTTTGCTTAAGTTCCCTATTAACAGGGATTAGGCCTCACTTCCGGTTGACTTGCGTGCCTTAAAAACCTCTTAGCGTGGGCTCCCTATTATTCAATAATATACAATGTGGAGAATATACATGCTGATGTTCGGATTAAACAGATACATTTTATCAACCTGTTGGACTATCATCCAGTCCTTTCTGCTGGGTGCAGGAAGGTTTTGTTCCGCTACTTTGGTACTGAACTCTTTTCTGGTCAATGACCAAGATTTGCTGAACATATCCAGGACCACGGCTCGATACTAACACAGATGACAAAAATACAAACGTTAGAATTCAACTACGACGGTGTTACATGGTGTATTCTGGGATCGTTTGGGTAACAATGTGAGCTGTGATTGGTTAATCGGTACCTTTGGAAATCAGTGACTAGTTAAAAACCTGCTTTTCTGCTGTACCTTTCTTAAGTGCCGTTATGTTTACCACATAGTATTTTACAAGACGAAAACTAGCATTTTTATTTTACTGTAATGAAACAAGATGAATCTAATCTAAGGATATTTTCACATTATACCGCATAGCTCTTGTGCTGGTACAAAAAACGATACCGGATAGGTCTTCTGTTCACACATAAGAACGGTGATTTCTGGCGCGATTTCTGTAACGGGGCGAAGCTGCGCTAAGCCAGTCTCGAGAGTGGATCATCAGATAGTCGTGCAGTCCTTCAGTAAGAAGTGATGCGAAAAATGCGCGGGTGCTGAAGCCTTTCCCAGGTCGTGCGCGTCTTATTTTCGCTTTGTTTTTTTTATTTACGTCCCCACTGTACTATCTGAGGGCCTGGCACAGGCTATGCCACACCTTGGTACAGTGGGAAAAGGTATTCGGATAGTAGCGGAAGTGAACAAACAGGAGCACGCGCTGGAATCCACTGAGACGGAAGCAAATATTCAGGAGTGAGAACTGGGATTTAGTTCACCAGACCCTCTCGGACAACTGCTTCGGCACGAAGTTCGATGCGTGTGAACGCCGTTGCTGTTCAGCTATCCAGTTTAGTGTGAATATAACCTAAATCATCATCTTCACCTGATCTGACGAATCTCCTATGCTTCTAAAGGCAAAGAATCTCCGTGACTGCGTGTCAATACTCAGAGCTGCTGGTGGCCACTGTAAATCAACAATGAAAGAACAAACATCAACTCTCAAGCTAACTAGTAAAAACAGTCTTTAGGGCCAAAGTGCGTGGTTTGCGGTGTGGATCTTCCACGGCCACACGTGACTCAAACATCATGCTTTGAAGCGCTTCATGCTCGACCAAGGAATGTACAAAATTATCACCTGTTTTGCGAGCCACTCTATACAAAGCCAGAAGTAAACAAAATTAAAGAAGAACTTAACCTCGTAGTAGAGATTTCAAAAAGGTGTTTTGCATTTCAATTTGCCCTTTTAAGACGCACCATGGCGGGTGCCCAATTACAGCTCATTTCTACAAGTGTCAACAGACCATGGCTACGACTTGCGCCTTCTTTTGCTAAGGTTTCGGTATGCAGGGCGTTAAGCTACGTACAAACGGACGCAACAACTCCCAACATTGTTGCGAGTTGTTGCGCCTGTATTGGCAGTGGTGTGCAAACAGATGCTACAACTCCCAACAATGTTGGGACCTGCAGTGCATCATGGGAAGGATACAACCCAGAAGACTTTGGAGATCACGTGTAATGCGCGTGCGTGGCCCCAACAATGTTGGAAGAGCTGTGCGATTGGATCCAACATTGTTGCGCTACGCTTCGGCGATCACGGAACAACAGAAATGTTAGGAGTTGTTGGATTAGAAGTTGACCAGTCTCAAACTTTGCGCAACAACTACCAACAACATGCAACAGGGTGTGCAAACGGACGTAAAATGTAACATCCGACAATGATGGGACTTGTTGGCAAACAATGATGCGTCCGTTTGCAATGGGTTTTATCCACGACAGAGGAAACTGGTTTACAGCCGTCTGGATACAAAGTCGTTTCGATTGAAGTTTGTTCACGCGCAAACTATACTTAAAGTGATTCATCAAACTTTCACCACTTGAGTTCGAATCGAAAAGACTTGAAACGACAGATTTTCAGGAAAAAAATACGCTGTCTTGGATTGAAGCCTGAAAAGTCAACAAATTGACAGATCCTAATGAGCCACCAAACTACAAAGTGACGAGTTTGTAAAGGTGACCCTGCATTCCTTAGATTAGTCAATATCTAACATTTATTTTTTCAGTCATTAGAAGGGAACATGATCCATAAAAAAGTTCTGCGCTACCTTCAGGTCAATCTCTGTCGCTCCAGCATTGATTATCGCTTTCTCAAGTAAAACATCAGGTACTCCAGCACACAGAGGATCTCCAGGACTGCTTGCTAACAAGAAAACAGCCACAGTAAGCATAGGGTCTGGAAAGGGAGTCATGATCCCACATACCCGCTCCTTTTTCACGGGAATCCCGCATCCCGATTCCCGAATTTCTGTCATCGCTATTCCGAACATGTTTTTCAGTTCAATAGCTGTTGGGTTTGGTACCTCGTAACAAACGTGGCTTAAAATATCTCTCAAGATAGAAGAATTTTCAGAAATTTGAAGAAAATCAAGGCAACCTAAATACCATACGATTCTTTGGCAGCAAGATTCACTCTAGCAATCCTGAGGAAGTGAAGGGAATGGAATGAGGATAAGTATGTGGTTCACGGAGGAGGAGCGTTGCGCGACGACCCTAGAGGACAGTACTTACCTAATCAGAAAATAGAAAAATTACCACACGCAACTCACCTGTTTGCCGAAGAAGCAAAAGCTTTTTAAATTCCGCAAAACTTAGAACAGTTCTGTGCAATTTTTCTCGAACAAATTCTTGTAATACTTTTAATGCGTCCGCAAAATGTTCTCCATTAGCCACTGGCATGGGCTCTTTCTTGATAGCATGATTAACATTATTACTAGTCACTTCTTTGCAGTCTACTTCCATTGGAGAATGTTCCTCTGGATTTGGTCCTCCGTTTGTTAAATCATTGTTCATAATATGATTCGCTTTAGATTTCGACGGCTTAGAAAGTTTTTTATTTTCTGTGCTGGTAGAAGGATCAGCTGAAACGGAAAGGAAGAATTGTCCTGTGAGAAAACTCTACAATCTGTAGGTGGGAGCTTCCACCTAGGTCATAACGGGAAACCTTAATACAATATGACTTCGCCCATTTAACTTACAAGTTAGCTGTGCAAGATGTTGTATGCGGTTGCCTTTCCAAAAGCACACCCCCTGGGGGGAGGGGGGAGGTGGGGGGACTCACATATCGAAGTGACCGGGATGCTCGTTGTCTCGCTTTGGGGTGTAAATTGCAAATTTTGGTCTCACTTGGGGTGTTTGGGGTGGAAAGTCACTATATTTGCCCTTTCAGGTATCCCTTAGTACTGCGCATAAAGAAATTTACAAAAAATGCCGTGACACTAACCACACAGAAATCTCCCTCAGGGATCAGTTTAAGCTTGAGCCACACCCACATTGGTCTCTCTTAGGGGTTTAATTTGAATTTTCCAACAAACATCACCGACACTTATATATGGGAGTCCCCCCGGGGCAATAACCATCCCAGTTCTTGTATTCCGCTTATGTTGACACAGTCATTATCATCAGTGGTTGTGCATCAGTCATTTTAAGGCTGCATGTGAGAATGCGTCGGCCTGGTGTTAAATTCGATTGTGGGATTGTCTTAAGAGAGGTAACTCACCAATCAACAGCAAGGAACAACTCTAGGTGTTCATTTTAGATAAGACGTTTTAGATAAGTTGGAGAAAGTTGACTGTAAACTATTACTATTAGTTATTATTTACTTTGTATTTTGTATTTAAAAAAAAGCAGTTACTCAATGAATCGACAACAACTTTCCATGGTCTGCACTCTTGCCAACCACAGAAAAGACATCAACATGTTCAAAACTCAAGTCGACCACCAGGGCTCTCACTGCCACGTTTTGAACATTCTGACATCGTTTCCATGGTCGGTAAGGGCATAGACCATGGAAAATTAATTGTCGTTGATTTGTTTTTTTAAAAAAGCATTGACATTGACAGAGGTTGGTGCCCATTTCCTTTTAAGTTTCTGGGAAAATCGTGAGCTCAAGAACGAGAAAAAATCGCGTCAACATAATGTAATTTCTATGGTCTGTACTCTTGTGGACCATAGCTCTCAAACAATCAGCGCGTGAGAAATCGCCAAGTTATTGTAAAATTTAATTAAAAACCAGGTCTTACAAGCACCACATTATAAGACCAGACACACTCGACTGTACTGTACAGAACTTGGCCAGGATTAAAATTAACACTTACAACTGTTCATCCGTTTCATGTCTCCTATCTTTTCATGCTTAGGGAAATTAAGCTGTTTTTGAAGCCTATGGGAAAAAAGAATGATAAAATTTCACATCCCCACAAACAAAACGTTTCAAAATTTATAGCTCTCATGAACTACGTGAATGAAACATGTAAGTTACAAATCCTCACAAAATACGGTTGAGCTTCTATTTAAACAGAACCTCTTCATGTCGGTGACCACTTAAAAGAGGTTCGACTAGGAGTTTTCTTAAAAATTGCAACCATTTTTTAAGGACTTTTCAAGGACCACATTAGATTTTCAAGCACCACCTACCAGGAATGTAATTTTACAGATTGTACAGAAATGCCTATTCTCAGTCCATTCTAACAAGACTTAAGGGCTTAAACTGTTTGCTCCACCAACGTCTCTACATTTTTCAGTTCACTTGTCTCAAATTCATGATAGTTAATTCTTGAATAAAACAACAAACGCATTATGTAAATCACCCTTAACTTCTCTTAGTTATGATTTATATTCTGTTTTGGACAACCAAAAAGCATTTTACAAGGCACTAAGCCACTACACTCAAAGTTGAGGAATATTCAAGGAGTTTTCAAGGACTTTCACAGAAATGTAAGGACTTTTCAAGGAAAAATGGAATTGTCAATTCAAGGACTTTTCAAGGACTTCCCCTAAATTCAAGGACTTTTTAAGACTGTGCGAATGACTGTTGACTGTAAAAAAACAAAATGCACTAAGAACTGATGCAAGGCCAGATGCCTCTTCAAAACACAACCGTGTTATTACATTCCTGTAATTTCCTGTAATGTCCATCAGATAGTAACATCAATAACTAAATTCTGAAAACAAAATTAGTAATTCTTACGCTTGGCATTTGGCTTCCCATAAGGTAAGCTGTTGTTTATATACATCTGGATGTCTGTTGAAACCAAAAAATAAAACAAAAAAACCCTTCACTTCATATTTACTCCAGGGAAGAAGAGTATCCAGATCTATCCCCCTTATATTATGTGGCTAAATGTAATTTAGGAGAGGTTAAACAAAAGACAAAGCTGGCCAGCAGTCTTAAACTCTTATAAGACATGTATGCAGGACAGTCTCAGGACATTTGCAGGACCTCAGTATGTTTACAGTGATTTTAGCGAGGTCAATTCTTTTTGCACACGTTACCTTTTGCAAGCATTTACTTCAATCATTTTGCTCCAAGTGCTCTATCACTCTGGACATGTCTTGGTAAGTACTTTGTGGTACTTAATTTTGTGTTTTTCACAATTGTAAAAAAAAAAAAATCGCTAAATTAAAGACCTGGGAATAAAAATCCTTGTGAAATTTAAACACGCAAAATTTAATACCCAGAATTTGCAAAGAATGCTGATTTCACATACGGAGTACATAATCTAGCTATCATCTTTATCTGAATCGCTAGATTCATACAAAAAAGAACAAAACAAAGAAATATGCATTTTGTTTGTTCCGGTTTATCTAGGAATTTTTAAAGTTGAGAACAATAATAATTTATTGAATCTCGAAATTTAATGCCCCTTTAATGCCCCTACTTGAATTGCAAAAATAAACCCCCTGCAAAAAGCTGTCATTCCAAAACTGGAAAATTAACTACCGGTACCAATAAGAAATCTACAAAACTCTTGGCTGAAGTTTTAAGTGCAACAGTGCCTGGTGGTTGCCGCTCACAGGGTTTATTTTTATTTACTTATTTATTGAAATCAATATTTATCCAGGAGCATCCAAGTTAGCAGACCTAGTTTAAATGGACCCCTGACACAAACAAAACAAAGACATTAAAACATTTAAAAAAACTGCATTATTTTCAAAGATTTCAGCTGCTGTGGGTCTCTGGTGAGCACCAACAAGTATAATGTTAGTTTTCTCGAGATTAAGCATTAGAAAATTTGTGTGAAGCCAGCCAAGGACATTGGTTAGGCCACTAGTTAACTGAGTTTGAATTTCACTGACAGACTTGATTAGATAATAAATAAGAGTATCATCAGCATAAAGCTAGTTGATGCTTCACCCTTGAACTACTAGAGGCAAGTTATTTATATATTGATAAAATAGTAAAGGGCCAAGTACGCTACCCTGGGGGACCCCGGAAGATATAGGCTGAGGCTCAGACAAGACCCCATTTGTACAAACACTTTGGGTGCGCATGGTTAAATAGGACCTAAACCACTGGACAGCATTGGTTTAAACAAAAAATGACTGGCACAAACACTTGGGAAAGTAACTCTTGACAATGTTTATAGTTCAACAGTAACAACCAGATTTGTATGTAGTAATGAATAGCACAATGACGACTTACTTTTGTATAAACTCCACATCATGAGGTAGCACAAACTCCCAACCCACTGCAATTCTCATTCGAGCCATCTAAATCACAATAACAATAACAATAGAAAAATCAATAAAAAAATTTTCAATACCATCCATCATAGCTAATGTGTGTGTGTGTTTTTTTTTAAATCAATCAAAAGCCTTTCTACAAACCTGATCTAACATTTCCTTGATGTCCTCAGATGGTAGCTAACCAAAATAAAAGACAAAAAATTAATACATTTTTTATAGAGTAACCCCTCAGCTGGAAAAGGTATGATTTAACATTTAGTCTACCATGTTAAGACTGATTTATCGTTGATAAAGATTACAGACAATCCAGTAAAATGCTTAAACAAGCAACAAATTATTCAAACATTAATAATAAACAGTCACATAGTTGCAGTGTTACAGAATATTTTTTTTTGTATTGCTACCAACACTGAACCATTATATCACAGTTTCTTTTGATGACACAGAGACAGTGTACATCATTTGGTCTTTCAAAGTAATACTGATGGGTATGATGGGGTTATAGTATCTTTACATGTCTTACCTTGGTGACTGTCTTTATGTCTTGCCGAACAACTACTCTACTCTGGTTAAATCTCCACATCTACAAAGAATTTAGAATTCAGGATTTTTTTTTTGTACGCAGAAACCTTACTTCATGTTAAGGCAGGGTAAAAAAAAATAAAAGCAGACAAGATTAAGGAAAGAGCCAATGGATTAATTTATAATGGTGTATCATAATTATTTAAAATCAAATTCAATTATTTCTGTTAAAACCAAATTTAACTTACAGCAGACCATGTCCAGCTAGATTATTTTTGCAACCCCATTCTAGACTAGAGTGCTTGAAAACTGCATGCTTCGAGTAGTTAACTTCTCAACTGACATCCTTAAACACCGAGACTGAGCGAACCCTGGTCACCATAATTATGCAGTTAGTTTGAAGGTTCAAAGAGTTGGTTACTCACTATATAATCTCTTCCTCTGCATAGAATATCTGCAGGTATTCCACTGTTAGGACTAATGCTTCCCTCAGGATACAATAACTCGCTTTAGGAGAAATCCAGAATTACGTCAGCTCAGATATAATTTTATACATATTATACATTATTATATGTTTTGACATGAAGTATTACTGAGAGTTTTAACAAGTTGTGCTGCACTTGGAAGAGCCCCCAAAAAAAAAAAAGAAAACACTCAGCCAGTGAAACTGATAAGTTACTACTCATAAAAATGTCTTTTTTCAAGCCACTTTCAGTTAGGAAATGAATTACAGGTTGATTACATTGAAGTTTAGGTGAATCTTTGCTAACAACACTGTTTACATTGTTGCATGTTGGCATAAAAGTTAACTCACAGAGGGTATCACCAGGGTGCATACAAAAAATTGCAACCATTTTGTAAGGACTTTTCAAGGGCCTAACAATAATAATTATTATTCGATTTCAAGAACCACCTATCAGGAATGTAACAGATTGTACAAAAATGTACGTGATTTCCCCGTCTGTTCTAATAGGACTTTAAAGGATTGAACTGTTTGCTCCACCAACATCTCAACATTTTACAGTTCACTTGTCTTAAATTGATAGTTAATTCTTGCATAAAACAAAACACACTCTATGTAAATCACCTTTAGCTTCTATGAGCTATGATTTATATTCTGTTTTGGACAACCGAGAAGTATTAAACACACTTTCCAGGCCACTACATTCAAACTTGGAGGAAATTCAAGGACTTTTCAAGGATTTGCACAGAAATTTAAGGGCTTTTATGGAAAAATGGAATTCAAGGACTTTGCAAACCCTGGTCACCATAATTATGCAGTTAGTTTGAATATTCAAAGAGCTGATTAACAGATTTACCATACACCTTTCAATTAGTAACTTAAGTTTCAATTTTAAAAGTTTTATTTTACCTTTTAACTACCCAACAGCCCTGTACAAGAACAGCATACTGTTGAACACATTTCAGCACTACAACCTCCTTGGCTGCTTGAGACAGCGTTCGAGCTGGAGACAGCAATCGACAGAGCTGAGAGAAGCTGATTACTTTAGCTACAGAATGTAAAATCCATCCACCAATCAGTCAATCAATATAATAAATCTTTTTGTTTCCTTCACTGGAAATGAGTTATCTAAGCTGAATTGAAAAAAAATAAATTTTCATTGTTCAACCACAAAGATAAATCATGCGATGTGTTGTGATAAAAGTTGTCTGTTGAATAGTTATTATTTTTATCAGGTGGGTAGTATTGCCTTCCTTTTGAACAACAATAAGCTTGATGGAGAGAGGCAACATTGTAGTAATATTCACTTCTTGTCCACCAAGAAAATGATATGACAGAAGAGACTGGTCAATAAGCCAACAAGCTGTAGTTTTTTGAGGTGTTACATGTGTGTAACACCAACAATCCCAGTTAACCTATAGTTCCTCCGCTTTATTGCGCTTTGACTGGGGAGAGTCAATTACTTTATCAGATTCCATTTAATCTAAATGAGTATTAAAAAAGGTGCAGTCTGCCTATAGATACTACTATCCTGATTAGCCATGTACAGGGTGTTTCAAATACATGAAGGCAGATCTAACACTGTACACTTTCAAATAAATAAAATAACCTCACCGTTAATAAGAAGGGCTTTGACTTGATCAGGTAAATCCATAGTTTTAAGTTGTGTCATTGACAAAACATTGCTTGGTAAGCGGGGCTCGGAGCTGTTGGAAAAATTTATGATAGCAACAAAGTTGTAAAACTAGAAAAAATTAGCCACAAAGGTGAGTTATTTCAGTGTGAAAGTCAATGTAGGCATTGTAAGGACAACAAGATCATAACAGACAACGAGACTGCAGTAAAGATATTCAACCCACTTATAAGGAATAGATGTAGAGAGCGGCAACTATTCATAGGTACTTGATGTACATATGTAGAATGCCTAAAACATTGTCAAAAAAAAATGTAATCTTTCACAGTACAAACAATCATCTTGTACATAACCTAAACAAAATCAGCTGAGCATTGTGCACAACATGAATAAAAACACACCATCAACATATGCAAACTGGAGCCATCAAGAGGTGGCAAAAAACCAGGGTTTTGGTCTAAGAATAACAAAGCAAATTAGGAAAATGCTTTTGAACACAAGAAAAAAAACCAGGGTTAAATTTAACCCCGAGTTCACCCACAAAAGTCACCCACAAAGCCAAAAATTATCAAATCCTAGAATACAAAGAATGGCATGCTACCTTGTTAATGCTTCTGACTTAAAAGTAGAATTCAAGAGAAAAACTTATATTTACCTTTCTTCTTGACTAGTAGATGGTGTCAATACCTTCAAGTAATCCCTAAAATAAAGAACTCTTTGTCAGGTCAAAGATCCTTGAACAGCTTACCAGGTTTTTCAGAGGAATTCAGTATAGCTGGCCACTTCATATCATGCTTTTATTTCTTTTATACTATTATTGTTTTGTACATACAGTTGACTCCTGATAACAAAAACCCTCGCTAACTCAAACCTTGCGCTAACCTCGAACCAAAATCAATTTCCCCTGGATCTCCTTCACCTATTTACTGTAATTTTACCCTTGGTAACTCTAACCCTCAATAACTCGAACCTCCTGCTAACTCGAAGAAATTTTTGTCTCCCCTCAGATCATTTCCAAATAATTTTACACTCAAAAACTTGAACCATGTTTTGATCGCTTAAAAAGTTGGGAAAAAAAACTGTGCTGTCGTCAGAAACATTGATTTTGAATTTCCCATTGACGTGCTGTAGGCACATACTATTAGTTTACTAATGGAGGCAGATGTTGTTTATCACAAATCTAACATGAAACAGCTTTACTACTCAAACAGTAAACTCATGCTCTATATTTTACGCTACGTTTTTAACGTTACATTCTGATTCACAATCTAGAAGTTTCTTTCAATTTTCACTTAACATTAATTTTCTACAGTCAAAAGTGATTAAAATGTTCACTGTACAGTAAAAACTGGTTTTTCCCTTACTTGCGGCTATTTGCTTTGAGCTCCCGACAATTCGAACTCCCGATAACTCGAACTTTTTTTTTTATTTCCCTTGAAGATTTGAGTTATCAGGAGTCGACTGTATTTCATTTATTCATTTTTGCAACTATACTTTCATTGGTGAGTCCACATCAGCTATTAGCTGCTGTCAGAAACTCATTAGCGGTTGAAGTGTGTAACTCTCATATGTTTGCTTTGTCCGATGCTCATGAACATTCATTTTTGCATGTACACAGTACAGCTGTACCATAGTTGGAACAAGAAGAAAAGATAACTGACCAATCAAACTTCATAAATGATGTGATGTAATCTCACTTCAAGTTCCAGCACCCACTCAAAAAATTGAGAGATATAAGCAACAACGACAGTGACGGCTACGATAACGTCACTTCAAAAGTACATTAGCACTGCTTTAAACTTTACCACATTTATTCCACCTCGTTCAAATCGTCAAATGTTAGCAAATTTTTCTGGAGTTGAATTCTAAACGACTGTATCGAAGTTCAGGAAAAGAAAAACAGTCATTGTCTTATGTTTTTGCCCTCTGCAAAATGTGAAATTAAACATTTTCATGTCGTAGTCATGCAGTGACAGCAAAGAAACAAACAAAAAAGCATGATGCACATGTAAAGTTGTTGTTAAACTATTGCTTTTTTGAGGCCACAGCAAGGATTTCCAATTTATGGTACTAAGGAAATGAAAATTCATGAGCATTGAACGAGAGTTACACATTTCGACCCCTTATGAGTTTCTGCTGCCATTTTACTGACGTACATAACAAATAAAGTATGTATGTAAGTGTACCTTGCATTCACTTGGAACTCAGGTGAATAAGACTCCATACTTTGGCAGAAAAGTAATTTATGCTCACTTGCAGCCTCGTGATCCTGGAGGTTTAAAAAATTATAAAAAAAAAAATTCACCACAGTACATACACCATAATCCTAAAGGGCAGCAATACTAATTTCCTATCACATTTACGTGTGTATTAATTAGCCCTCTTTGCCTTGGTTGCGAGAATAAGGTGTATGAGCAGAAATTGATTTGTGTGTTGTAGTAACAACGTAGTACACCGTGTTCAAAAGATTTGGAGCAGATAATTTTTAACAAATTATTTCTCAGTAGAAGGAAATTTTAGCAGTAGATAAGCAAAAGAGTTGTTGTGAGGTCCATTAATGCAAAAATAATACACAGTGCAATGAACATTCAGTGACAAACATGGTACCAGCAAACAAAAAAACTGGACAGTATGGCATACATTACAAAATTAATCCAGGACCAATGAAAAACAAATAAACCCCAATACTCATGACTTATAGACAGCTCAGAAAAAGCTTTCTTGGTTTGCTAACTTGTATAAATCACCCAAAAAAATTGTTTATTGGATATTAAATCAATACTCTTGACTTATAGATAGCTCAGTTAGATAATTAGAACAAAATATTAAAAAGCTACAGTTTCTTGGTTTAGATAACTGCTCAGCTTTTTGGACATGACAAAAAAACCAACAAAAAAAAACCCTCAGCTAATGACTATTTATGATAAGAGGAATGCTTTCAGCTTACAGCAAAAAAGTACTTGTTGTTATTTCAAAACTAAGAGAGTTAAAAATTTAGGACTGGAAAAAATGCATGATGCTATGTTTGAGGTAAATAAAAACTTTTCCTTACTAAAATACATGATTATGTTTCATCAATGAGTTTTCATCAATGAGTTTTGCACGCTATTGAGGAGCATTTACAACTTTCCAGGAGTACAATACAGCACATACCTGTGGATTATAAAATTGAACTTTTTTCCACGGCTCCTCTGCTTTTTTCTTTTCCAGGTATTTGAAAGATGACAAACGTTGCGCTTTTGCCCGATCTGTTTCAGGGCGGGCAAATTTGACCTAAAGAGAAAAGCTCTTAGTCTTAATCTTAACAAATTTGTTTTTTTTTTTCTAAGATTCTGTGCTGAGTTCAAATTTGCACCATAAATAATCAACCTTCACGACTGTCTGCAGAGAAATTGGAAAGGAATTGAAAATTGGTCTAACCTTAGTCTGGTTATTCACTCAGCTGTTATTTGAAAACAAGAAAATCAAAACTACAGCATTGAAGAGTAGTTAACTAAACATACTGTTAAAGGTTTCGCTTCATCTTCCTCGTCCTGTGAATCACCTGTTGATAATTTACAGACAAAAACAACAAAGAATTACTCAAGATAGTACTTAAAAGTCTGTTATTTTCCAATACAATCACCAACTATAAACAGGGCTAACACCAAGATTTCAAGTTGCTGGGTATATACAATTAGCAGATGGATTAAGATGTTCTCTTTGGTTTTATTTTCCTTCTTTTTACATGCATGAAGGAAGCGGGAGGTCATCCTAATAGTAGCCAGAGGAAATCCCAATGGGGTTATTAACCCAATTTTCCACTACATTCTTTAGACTAGAGACTAACAAACTAATAATAAAGACATGCAATGGCTAGAGATTAATGAACTTTCCTTGTTCAAAAAACTAGTATACAGTATTTTGCACCTGGCCTTTAGTTTTTTAATTACTTACAGACTTGGTTTTAAAATGGTCATAAAGTGATTCCAGTTTCTACATGGTAACTGTCATCATGAAAACATCGTGAAACATCCAATCTTGTAACGCATACCTTCTTCTGTAACACTGGTGTTCTGGCGTACATTTGACTCGCCTTTGTTGAGATACTCAAAACTGGGTCTGAGTTGAAGTGCACCACATATGGGTGTTAGATGAAGCTCTCCTAAAAACGAAAACATGACTAAGCAGGGTTTTCATTAAGAATTCTAGTAGCAGGTGAAATGTGTAACGTTAGAGGAGAATATCTTGAAAAAGGCTCCATTGTCTAAAAAAAATAGTCATAGGCTACCGAACGTTAGCTGGAGAATTTTGTGTAGTAAATGGAGAATTCTCTGATCTGCCTAATGAACACCCTGCTAAGTTAACAAACACTACCATGGAGAACTATTGCTAAGGAGGTTCACTTGGATGGTAAACAAAATAAATGATAACTACAGTAGTAATAACTGAAGGCTACAGACCGCGGGTGACAATGAACCAGGGTCTTTTGCTCCAACGCTGTGCTTTTTATGTGATAAATGGTCACAACACCCATGATCAGATCACAAGTAATAGAAGGTACAAACATGCATGATCAGATTGTGTTCTATGTATGCCAATCATTCTCAGTGGAAGTCCAAACGAAGCTGGCTACATATAATGTGGCCTCCTTCTCTAGCTGTCCACAAAGTTGATAAAAATTAATTATAAATGACAATAAATAATCATTAATTTAGTAATTAAATATACTTAGCTAACCAGAAGTGTTTAACAGAAAATTAGTGACCCAGTCTACTGTAAGTTGCACTTATTTATTTTTCACATAGAACAACAGTTACTGTAATCCTACCTTGTCTTAGAACACCAACAGCATAACGATTGGCATCCTCCGTGGCCAGAGATGATGTAAGAACCTGCTTGTCCATCTTATCACTATGATAAAAAACAAAACTTTTGAAAATTTTTGACAAATGCATGTAAATTTTAGTCATGTTAAGAGTGATAATTATGCTATTGAAACTGAATACTTATTATTCACGACCAAATTTCTACAAGGTCTTCACTGGCAACTGACTGTGGGGATCACAAACTGTAGTGGTCATACAATCTCAGCAGAAAATTGTTATCTACTGGCAGGTCAAGCCCCTGTTCCCATTTGAGAGATGGCATCCTTTGTTTTATAGCACAGGCAAAGGACAAAGGAAACCGGAGTTGCAAGCATTTACATGTAGCTAAGCCAATGAAGTTCTGCACAGTACCTTGTAAAAAAGGAATTTTTCTCTTCAGAATTGGACGATGAGCTAAGGCCATCAACATCATGAGCAATTTGTTCTCCTCTTGGTCCGTAATAGTTGGCACCACTTGTATTTATTGCAAGTTCAACTTCAACCTACAAAAGTGATAATACATCAAAAATTATTGACCAAGCTGATATGACCACAAAAAGTTTAAAACATTTCATGTGATGTGGTAGTCCTTCATTGAAAAAATGACCAAATATCATTAAGCTTTAAAAGGTCTCTATATCATCCTGCCCTTGTTGTGATAATTGCCTGCATCTTTGTAAGTCAAATCAATATTATTAACCAAACTGATAAGACCACAAAAAAATTAATATTTCAAGTGATAGTCCTTCATTAAAAAAATGGCCAAATACACTGTATCATTGAGCTTTATTGTAAAGTCTCTACATCATCCTGCCTTTTTCTAAATTGTGATAATTAGCTGCTCTTTTGGAAAGTATACTGCTTGATTTGGTTTAACCAAGAAAGTTACACAAAACCATGCTTAGTGATTCTTCTGCTTCACATGAAATTAATGGTTGTGATGTTCCGACAGTGATTTATTATTTAATAGTTATGGTACATGTAAGTCCTGCAACTCATCTTGTGAAAAATCATGAGTCCCAGTCCTGAACCAATGAGTCCCAGTAAGAAAAAACGAGTCTGAAATTGAAAATGCTTGGGCCTTTATGTAACCAGATAGTTAAAATCTGACGACAGACTCCAAAACTCTGTATTACAGTATACTGAAATAAAATATAGTCCTTCTATTTTAAAGCACAACAAAGGCTAAAAGAAATATGCACTGTTAAACAACAGCCATAATAACTGCTACAGAAATCATGTTAACGGGCCAGATATCTCTACAAATACACATGTTCAGATTGATCTATCAATCTTTGCATCCTTCGGGATGCATGCCATGAATTAATATTTTGCATCTTTGGGGATTTTTTTGTGTCAGGGACGCAAGACGCAGAGGTAACAAAATCACTGTTCCGATCATCGATTTTAATCAATCATCAATCCAAATTCTTAAACAATGTGATAATTGATTGTGGAAAATGTTCAATTGACTATTGTGGGAAAAAAGTAAAATTCCACACTACAATCAGGAACAAATTAGTTGAGACACTTTGCTCTAAAGGGCATTTCAGAGGTTTGCTGGCTTCAAAAGGAAAAAATGAAGCTTTCCCTTCCCAACTCCCTCCATGCAATGTTGTACACATAGCTACAATGAACCTATAAGAAACAACAAACACCTCTTTTTTGAATGGATGGGAGGGGGAGGAGTGTGGATTGTTTTGTTCTCCAAAGTTTTACCACATGAAGACAGTGTCTCAACAATTTTGCTGCTTTTTGTAGCTATCACCAACACATTTTGACAGAACTAAATCAAGGTATAATACCTTTTGCTGTTCAGGTTTGATTCGGGCACCAATATGTGGAACATTATCATAAGTCATCGTTGCTGGGCGAACAGGATACTAAAGTAGAAAAAATAAAGCAATTTTAGGTTCATTAAGACTTATTGTTTTATAAGACTTATTTTATTAACTGCCTGGATATCTAGGTCACAAAAAGATAGCTGCAAGTCTGGACCAAAACCAACTATATACACTTGCATGGTAAGATGTGGTCTTTGTGTAAATGCTATGGAATATTTTTAGGTCAATGTCAAGAAGCTCTGCCATTGATATGAATTGTTCTAATGTACTGATAATTCACTAAAAATAAAAATCAAGGGAGCCCGTTACTTATGAGCCCAGTGGCTACTCTTGGTAACAAATTCTCTCTACCATTTTTTTTTTCAGGAAGTGGATGGAGATCAGTCTGAAGCATTTGTGTGCAGATAGTGTGACTAAAAGGATAAAGTGCTGACCATAATGGTTTTACAGACCACTCCTAAGGGAACTGCAAGATTTTCAGATGTAAATAATACACTAACTGGGCCATTGGTCACGAGCTTGGCAAGTTTAACTCAATCCGCCACCCCTCAAGCAAGGCCTCCTTGGCTTCTGTCTTCTTTTTGATCAAGAATGAGAAAAGGAGGCAATGTCGGTTTTAGGTCAATACTTTCAAGTCACCACAGCTAAAACTTCTGGACTAATCAGTCTAGTTTTCTCTTATCAAACTAGTGTTTTTCATTGCGAGCATCTGTTTACTGATAAGCCGATGATCATACCTGAGCCCTTCATACCAAGCACATGGCTAATGGGCCTGGGTTTGAAGGACCTTAGGCCTGGTTCAGACGCCGTTCCACTCATGTGCTGAACCTAACTGATGAATTAAGTATGGTAAAAGAGTGGCATCTAAATCAACTTGGTACCACAGTTTTAGTATGGCGTGGCAAAAGCATTAAGTTCGATAGAGTCTGTAGGACTTTTGTCGAACTTAACATAGGCTCAACACACAGTGTGCCATCTGAATCAGATGTCGCGCCAGTGTCGCTCCAAAGTCAAACTTATTCAATTAGATTCGGCACATGAAAAGTACGGCGTCTGAATCAGGCCTTAGTTGAACTATGCAGAGTCTTCCTGAGGTAAGTCAAAATCAAGCAAGCAAAAGAAAGGCCCTGCTAGCTGGGTGCCAATCCTTCACCAGACTGTTTGACTGATAAGGCATGAACATTTACTCTGGTGTATTCAGCTCTTTCAAGGTTACAGTTTAGCCCAACACAGTTACCATGGTCCATATCCCCCCTGGATGGTTACTGGTCTGGTCATCTAACCCTAACCCCCACATCATTTCGCCCCAGGCACTTCGCCCCCTATTCTAGAACGAGAAATATTATATTATTTTGAAGCATGCTTGTTATGGTTTATGGCTTAAAGAATGAGGCATATTCAGTGTGCAAAGAAAATAACTTTTATAGCTTACCACTTGGGCAAGCTGAAGCTAGCATTTACTAGCCAAGAGGTCATTTCAACCAGCCCCAAAAGATTTGACGAGCAGGATTGATTTCACAGTTCTTCTGTTATTTGAATTCCTCAAAAAACATCACTTGCCCATTGGGCAAGTTAAAAACAGAATTCGCTAGCCCGATAGCAAAATCCACTAGCCCCAAGCTATCGGACACTACTTTCTTTGCACTTGACCAGTTACCCCCCTTAATGAGGTTCCGTTATTTTAAAAAGATTAGCATTTGGCACTTGCTCCTTTCAGCTTATATGATTATTAAAATAGTTACATACTTTTAATGTCACCTGTAGCTGTGCAGCACATGCACAAAATGAGACAAATAAACTAACACTGTATTTCTTTATTGCTGTCCAAGATGTCTATTGAAGGCTAAGAAGACCAAAGCCTCTTAAAACAAAAAGCCGGCAACGTAGGATCGACGTGCAATCTTGTGCAAATTGTTATATTTCAGGCTTTAAGCTTAAGGAGTAAGCGAAGCATCCTAACTATGCTAATATAATTAACATTTAGCTGTAAAAGTACATTACTAGCCTCTAAAACGGGAAAAATAAAATAACATGCTCAAAGCTGCTAGTTTAATTTCCGCATGTTGTAAGTTTTGGAAAGAATTCAGCTGACCTTACCTGAAATAAGAAGAGATTGTTGGCCAAAGTCTGGGCCAAATAAACGTCCACCTGTGAAGGAGAGCAAGATATATGCTTTATGAACAGTACTGTCTCTTTAAACTGTGCAAAGATCTTCACAATCGTGAGATAAACAAACCTCCGCAACAACGGGGTCGTCATCTTCTTCGTCCGCCATGTTTTCTCATCATCGTGCAATGCACATGCGCAGTACCCACGTGCAAAATTGTTTCCAGAAGCTCGTCCCAGTGTACCCTGGGTTCCTGAGGTTATTTAGTGAGCACGGCTTTTTTTCATGCTAGGTATTTCTTAGGTATTTCGGGGCGGCTGTACACAGGGTAGTCAAGTATGAACTCCAGCAACAAAAGAAGAGAGTTTTGGTACTCATCCATCTCACGCAATTTGCCCAGTTTTCATATGAATTGGTTTCTGAAACCACGGGCCCGGAATCATATTTTTTTCATTCAAGAAAAGGGAGTTCTGTAGTAATGAAGTCCAGGGTTAGCTAAAAGTCAGTATAATTTTCAAAACTAAAGCTCTGGGTATAGGCTAAAGGGTTCCAGGGTCCCATTGGGGAGTCTAGTATAGGGTAGCAAAAGTCAGTTGAACTAGCTCTGGTATAGGCTAAGGGTTCCAGGGTCCCAGCGGCACATCCCCACCCAAAAATTCCTTAAGTACTCCCCCAGGGATTAATTGTTCATAGCTTGCCTGGTCTCGGATAGGTCATCCAAACACGTAACCGTAAAATGCCGCTCAACGGTTGCTAGGGCTAAAGCACGGCCACAAAGAGAGACTGTGCCCTCGTTCCACTGGTCTTTTCTCCCCTCAACTACGTCATATTATGTCACCCTAAAGCTGACAAAGGAAATATTTTGGAATTGAGGTTGGAGCCTGAGAATGTGCCAATGTGGGGAAAGAACGAAAGCCGCGTTTGAAGAATTTAGATTGATATATTTCTCCTGTCAATCCATTTAACCACGTCACGTCAGGGGGCGAACAGAGCTTTCAGGATCACGGGGTTTTTCTTCAGATGTCCCCTTACTGCACTGAGGTAAAAGCATCGGCGACGGCAGAGAAAACGTCACTTTTAAACTGACTTCGTGGGTTTTCAAACTTTGTCGCGTTTATTCCAATTCGCTAAAAATGTCAAATGTAGGCGAATTTCCCTGGAGATGATTTCTTGGGGACCGCACTCAAGTTTAGAAAGAATAAAAGTTAAAATTTGTCGACGCTTGAAACCCAAAACTCCCTTGAAACAAAAGAGTTTCTCTCAAATAAAACAACAACAACAACAACAACAACAACAGTAAATTCAAATAGATGATACGAACGGTCCACAATAAACAACTGAAAATCAAATCAAAGTGCTCACTGTATTTGCAGCCAGTAAAACAGTACAAGATATTTTTTTCCAGAGGGAAAACACATTGTAAGCGATGACCGAAAATCGAAGAATTGCTTCTATGGTACCATTGTATTTGAAAATTCCTTTTTTATGCCCGGCAATCCCAGTTTTTTCATGTTCTTCACTGAGAAGCTGCATGTAATGGAGTCAACTAGCATAGCCCGCATGTCTTCCAGGTTAAGGTTTTTTGTTATTCGATAAAAGAAAAGCAGAGGGTACGCAGGTGCTTTTTAAACAGTTGTTAGTGAATTTTTTCCGCCCTCATCTGAAAAGGCTGTCGTTCAGCGCATCCCCACCAAGTCTTCTTACACAGGAATACCAATGCCTTGCAGTCCAGTATCTTGAAAATGGGTTTGTCGCTGTTTTCTTTGCCCTGTGACATTCACCTTGAGCCTTGGTTAACAGATGCTCTCATTGCTGCTTTCTGTCTCTTTTCTTGTCGGACATGAACTTCTTTGCACGAAGACGCTTTTCATTGGCGTGTCGCATCCTGAAAGATAAGCAGAACGCAAGCCTTAGTTCCATGAGGCAGGGTCACCAATGGGGTTCTTTAATACCGTTATCCCGACCTAAATTTTCGCTCAATCCCGTTATCCCGGTGATTATGTTCGAGATCCCGCATTGCGTGCCTACTTTCAATCCCGAATCTCACCTCCACTTTGCCTTAAAATTCTGAAGCCGGCTTTCAAATAAGCTAAATACCGGATCCCGAGGGTTATTTGGGCATCCCGTATTCCGTGCATACTTTCGATCCCGAATCTCACCCCCATTTTGCTTTAAAATCCCGATTCCCGGCCTTCACAGAAGGCAAATCCCGGGTCCCGAGGGTTATTTTGGGCATCCCGCATTGCGTGCATACTTAAAATCCCGAATCTCAACCCCATTTTGCTTTAAAATTCCGAAGCCGGCTTTCAAATGAGCGAAATCCCAGTTCCCGACAAATCGATTGGGTCTGTCCATAAAGTATCGAAAATCAGGTAGGCTCTCTCCCGGTGATATCCGGTCACCTCGCCACCAACGAAATCGCGGACAAGAGATATAATTATATCTTAATACTTAATCTTTATTGATATCCAAGGGGCAAATCTCTACAAAGAATTCTTTCACTTTAAAATTTACCCAATGAAATTTAAGGAGATAACGTATTAAAAAGTCGCAATTATTCACACACAAAAAAATAGAACTAAAGATAAGAAGTTCGACGCAAGGTGTCAATTAAAATCGATAAACTTATAACTGGGATTGACGAAGAAGTAACAATCCCAGGTAAGTAAACAGCGTCAATTATTGCAGTGTTGTTATGTGGTGGCGAGATGACCGTAAACCATCCTGATAAAACTACTTTACCGTCACGGTGTTACCTGGGATGTGGGTATTGTAACAGGTACTAGTCCCAGTTTCTCAAAAATTAGTCAGGCTTAACGTCGTTTGCCTACCAGTCATTTCATCAACATCCTACATGTTCGCTAACTTCTGAAGTCGTTCCGGGTACGTGCTAGGTCAGTCAGTTCCCTAATTGCTTTCGCCAGATCAGTGGCTGAAAGAACGAAGTATTTACATGCGTATACCACTTGTTTGTATCATGGCAGAGAAAACGAAGCATATACATGCGCAGCGCTCGTTTTGCGTCTCGGCGAAACGGCATAAGGCGTTAGCGAAACGACTCATAGGCGAAACGACCGGTCACCCATTTTTTTGGGTGGTCGCTTTAGGGGAAGTTCCACGTAGTTTTCCTGGCCACTTACTTCAGCCAATCAAACAATCCCTATAAAGTTCATCCTATGCCTGTAAGTTAAGGGTGTACAGTGTAGTTAAAAGGGTAACAAGAAGAAGGAAGAAATTTCTTACAGTTTCCGTACATAAGCCCTTTTCTCTGGGGTGGTTTCTTTGGGAACAAATGATGCATCCTCAATGATGGTTTCCAGTTTCTGAATAGCATCTTCCAAGTTTTTAAATTGGGTTCTGTACTTGGTAGAGCTTATAACTAGCTCACCCTCCTTGTTGATGCGATTCTTTTCCTGTTATATGTAAAAAAAATTTGGATTTATAAGGTAGCCTGCGCAACTGACGAAACTTATACCTGCGAGCCAGTACCAAACCCTGTGATGAGCCCACACCATTGTGCCAGGATTTGAGTATGCACAGTAATAATTATTGCCCAGTTAGGACAGCCATTGTCGATTCGCCAGTCAGGTTGAGGGACATTCGAAATGCACTTATGGGGCCCAGAGCAAGGATCTTGGCACTGCTTTGCAGACGTTACTAGCTGGGGTTAGACAACATCTGTGATGCACACTGGTAATAAGCAGTCACATGCAGGACCTACACTGGCATCCAGTTACTACTATGGAACCACAAAGCTCTCAGAGACCTGTATTTTTATTGGCCTTTGAAACACAGCTGTTAATGTTTTTAAGGCTAGGAACATTGTTTGGGTCATTCATCTGTTGCTTTGTTAGCTAAAAAAATAACTCATTCTGAGAGTTTTGTGCTGTTATATGTTTGCTTTCGGCAAAATTTCCACTGCATACAGAATAATATTGTGTCCTGCTAATCTGACCAGCAGTGAAAATCACATTTTCAAACCTCATTTATGACCTTTATGAAGAGTGAGTTCTCTTATTTTCTCTTAATGAACTGTGTATCAAATTTAAAACTCACTTTTTCAAAACTGATGGCAAGTGGAGAACCACCCAAAACATCTTCCTTACAAACTGGCGGTAAAGCCTTAAGGTATTATAATATTTATGGCCAGTGAACAAAATTACTCAACATTACACGTTTAAACAAGGGTTAGAATGTCATAGTGAGGAGTAACCAGGGTGCTATAACATGGTTTGATAACGATGAGGTTTATGTAAGTATACTTTAGTCTTACTCTCTCTAAAATCTTTTGCTGAACATTTTCAGGGATCCAGTCTGCACTTAACAAATGAAATCTCAAGTCCACCTTGGTATTAACTGAAAAATATCACAATAAAATGAGTCAGTAAAGAAATACTCCCTCTTATTTGGTTGCTTTATCAACCTGAAACGGGGTAAAGTTCCAGCCACATGGGCCTCCTAATGATTCTGAATGCATAAATTTGCAAAAAAAAAAAAAATTGGGTTCAGCAACTTAGTTTAAAAGGTGGAACAGTCACTCTTAATTGAGAGAGTGCATGAAAAAACCCTAAGTGACTACAGAAAATTATCTAATTGATGCCCTCTCTCAAAAAAATGCCTCTTGTCAAATAAATACCCCCCCCCCCATCCCAAATGTCAAACTCCTCCTATCTATCAACCACCAAAAATTAAATAAATGCTGGGTGTCTATTAGATCATTTACGGTATTGTTAAAGAGTTATTTTCTCCTTCTAAATTGCCTTGTTTTTACTAGTGAAACAAAAGGAGAGTTTGACATTACATCAAAGACCTCCTAGGACCTTATTCCAGGCACCCTCTTCAATTGTAGCCTTGCTACCTACAGTATATCTTCAGTTGTCTCATTTTTGCAGCCAGGCAATACACACCTTTGTTTACATTTTGTCCCCCAGGACCAGAGCTTCTTGCATACTTTATAGTCAGCCTGTCTACAAATCATTGACACAATAACATCCATTTTAAAACTGCCTTAAATTTCATTGAGAACCTGGATTCTATCACATACCAAACTGTTGCTTATAAGCCCTGAGCTTATACTTCCTTGTAGGGGTCTTAGAAGGGTTTACAAACGGAGGGGCTTATATAAGCCCTATAGCAGTGCTGATCAAAATAAGTTTTGCATTGACTGCTTTTTTACTGCATCTTAATAAACCAAATTCATTTCAATACCTTGAGTGAGGGCTTATATCCAGTGTAGGGGGGGGGGGGGGGGGAAGGGGGGGGGGCTTATACAGTGGGTGTAATTGGATTAAATTTTTTTGTTTACAGGTGGATGGGCCTATACATGGGGCACTTCTATATGGTGGAACTCATAAGTGGCAGTTTACATTATGGTACTTGTAAATCAAAAGTAGTATATACTGATTACCAAATAATTGTCTTTTCATTTATCGATCACAGGAAATGTCATAATTTTGGTAAGAACGTCCTTGACCAATGTACTGCCACTTTTTTTGTTCTGACAATACCGTTGCAACATCATGATGTCACCTAGGATATATTCACCGTAACTGAACAGATATACGGCAAACTGTTACCTATCTGGTAAAACATTAGTTTTTGTTTTTACATTATTGTAAGTAACATTCAACTTTCATCTATGCTCTTTACAAACACAGATGACAACACAGGAATATAAAAACAAGGGCAGCAGGTTTACCAACAGGAATCTTTCCTTTATAGCTTATACCCAATCCATTAAGATTCTGAAAAACAAGGACATGACAGAGTTAAGAAAGGTTCACTTAATACAGTCAAACTAGCACAAAATGAACCTGTATTAATATTGTAATGGACCTTTATTAAGAGGACACCTCTATCAAGGAGTTTAATTTACCATTGCCCTGCCCACACCCCTCTCTTACCCCATCCCCCTCCATCCATTTGACTATTGGGTAGAGAACACAATCTATATCTGTGGGGAAGGGGGTCGAAGGGGTTGCTGTGTATATATAAATAAAGGAACAGAGTTGTCCATAGTGCGGGTCTGTTAATTACTCTCTACAATCTTTTAACTCTTTACAATGGGCTATTGGTCCTCGGTTGAGGACTTACCTTTTCTTCTTACTCCTGAAGATTGGCTAAAATTGCATTCACCGTTGAAGACTTCCATAAAAAAAAGGTTCACCCCTGAAGGATACATGTACCCCTAAAGAATTTTGTGAAAATTAAAGCTTCACCTCCAAAGAATTCCATATTTTTTTACCCAGCCATAGAACAAATCCGAAATTTTTATAACTTACCCCTGAAGAATTCCATGGTTCCTCTACCGGGGGGGGGGGGGGGGGTACAGATGTCAAATGTAATAGCCCAATCTGTTCAGTTAACTTGGCTACACTTTGTAACGGATCCTCCTACCCTAAGGTCAAGTTCAATCGCTAAATGTTTAGGTTTGAAATTTTCAACCGCATGGTTTCTGTAAACGGTAAGAAAACCTCGTTCCAAAAGGCTTAATCTGCTTGAAAAACAAATAAAAGCATCCTGAGACCTTTTGTAGCTTGCTGCAAGGCAACATGTTTGATCGAGGCGCTTTTAAGGTTTTACCTCATTTTCAATGCTCCTTAACTTAATAAAAGAGGTGTGAAGATATAGAGCTCCAAAGTTGTTCTGTCGTGTTTCCAGAAATCCACGAAATGTGATAAAATATGAACGGGAACGATGGAAAAGGCTACGAAACATTTCACGTCATGGCCGCCATTAAAATTTCCCAGTAACCCTAGCGTAAGTTAAAACATATGTAACGCGCTATTTTCAGTCACGCACGTTACCGTCACGCAGAACGTCTCACACGGCATTCTTCGCTTTAAGGTGGCTCGATAGGGTTTTTCAGGGTTAATACCGTCCGAGTTTGACTAAAACTACGTCGCCATTGGGGAAAAGTTGGAAAAATTACCACCACAGCTATATTAAAAGGCCTTTGCTATATTAGATAAAGATGAAAATTTGTTGTGATCATTGTTACCATGACATCGGAGTTGTCATAGCAACGAAATGACGGAAAGTTCAAGCATTGCCGATTTTGCTTGCAGCCGTATTTCTCGGCATTAGGAACTGTTCTTCCAAAACCGTTGACAGGACCTTTTTTCCTCCAAGATTTTGCTTAACTTCACGAACGTTGAGGCGGCTATTGGAGGAAAACGAGGCTCCTACGAGGACAGTTCCCAGTGCCGAGAAATATAGCAGCAAGTAAAATAAGTCATGGGGTCATTTCGTTATAGTGACAGCTCCGATGTCATTGTAACCCTGATTATAACAAATTTTCATCTTTATCTAATACAACTGCGGTGGTAATTTTTTCAAATCTTTATTAATGGCTACGTAGTTTATGCTCAAACTTGGGAAGTACTGACCTTGAAAAACCCTTTCGAACCACCTTAAATTTATTTTTTCGTAAGTGTTCGATCGCACAAAGACACTCTGCCTAACTACTTAATTTCAATAAGCAAGAAAGTGTGACATGTTTTTTCTTCTCTCAACAATTTTAACTGTCCCAACTATGACAGGATAATCGGATAGAGACTGATAAGACCTGAGGCGTTAACACCTATATTGACCGTCCAGTAGCGGATCCTGCCCCCCCCCCCCTCCCCCTCCCGTTCTTTTGGGACCAAATTGAGGCCCAAGAGCCCCCCAAAAAATTTTTTACGACCGGGCTCCCCGCTTATCTCAGGGACTGAATGACCGCCCCCCTCGCCCTTATCCGAAGGTCTGGATTCCCCACTGCAGTCCTCATTTGTTCAGAATGTTCAAGCACAAAAAACACACTGAAGTCTGTTGTCTGCAGGAACCAATAGATTAAGCTAACGACAGCACCTGTAATCCTTAAACAGAACCGGACAGATCTTCTGTCCGTGGAGCTAAAAGCTCGGGAAAAGAGGAGAAAAGGCGAAAAGGGGAATTATCAATGACAGAACTAATTAAAACAATTATTGATGACATCACACTGCAATTAAAATCAAAGCGTTCAGAGGCGCGCGGTGTAATCAACCGCTAGGTTTGTCCTTTCAGAAACGTGGACACACATTTTGCTTTTTGATGATTTTGCGTGAATTACCACGATGTTAAAATCTAACATCAGCCTTGTGAAAAAGAATGAATCATGGGTTCCAAAGAAAGAGCAACAAATTGCTGCCATAGAAAAACATGGCTACACTTTAGGCAAAACTCTCGGAGAGGGAGCTTACGCCAAAGTCAAACTAGCTGACTCCAAAAAACACAACTGCAAAGTAGCCATCAAAGTCATTAACAAGAGAAGAGCACCAAAGGATTTTCTAAAAAAGTTCCTGCCTCGTGAAGTCCACCTGATGCATCGCTTGAATCATCCCAACGTAGTGAGTAAAATTAAAAATATATTCCTCCAAGAGATGATAACTAAGATAGTCGAACGTATTCAATCATTCAAAACTTTTTTACTCGTTTGTCTCATTGCTATTTTTAACTGTGGGTTCGATTGGTTAGACTGCACTAGCCTGTTCCAGTTCTCACCCTTATAAGGGAGTCCGGACTCCGGCTTTCGGGAAATTTTTGCTCGTGGAATCGGAAATATAAAGAATCTGGACTCCGGAAAACAACTCAAGGTATCTGGAATCCCACTAAGGATTTGGATTCGGAATCCACGCTCCACTGACAAAAAATCCGGAATCCAGTACCTGAAACCCGAAATCCACGGCGTGGAATCCAGAATCCAAGACTGTCTTGGATTTTATTTATTACAATTCATGGCAATATATAATATCAATAAAAAAAATTAATAACAATAACAATAACATTAGCAAAAAAAGGGACCCATTGGAGTTGCGCACAAGAGCCAGAGACCACATACAAGGCGCAACACCGTGGATACTATTTACATAAAAATATTAAATTAATATTAAATTATATACAACTGAAGATGCAAAACAATCAAGCGCAGTGTGACAAATGAACTAGAATCGGCATGGGCGAGCATGTCGCATTCGTATGATGATTTTTCGAATTGCACTGTCTATTTCCAAATAGCATTGGCTGAGAGAGAGTTCATGAAATACGTCTAGGTGTAATTTCAATATAAACGTCATGCAACTATGATAAGACTAAGACTGATGATCCAGTTTATTTGTCCTTTATCTGCGATCCTCAGAATTTTACCTTTTCAATTTTTAATTGCATCCATGTTGGCTAAACTATAAGAAGACTCATTGACTACATTGCGAAACACTCTTTTCTGTCTTCTATAAAGGGGTAGTTTCGTCGGAATCTACGAATTGAACGCGTATGTTTTTCTTGCAGATCAAACTACATGAGGTTGTGGAAACTTCAACCAAAGTGTACATCATTTTACAGTTAGCTTCTAAAGGGGATTTACTAGAATACATTAACAACAAAGCTACGCTGAGCGAAGACCAAGTGCGCATACTGTTTTGTCAGCTTGCCGCTGCCATGGCATACTGTCATAAGGAGCAAGTGGCTCACAGAGATTTGAAATGTGAAAACATCCTGATTGATGGCGAAGGAAAATTAAAGGTGACAGGTAAAAATAAAATAAACTACTGAGATGTCAACTGTGCACTCGTTCATTTAGCAAATGATATGAATGGTTTTGTGAATTGAGCTTACTGAAAATAAAGTGTACACTAACAGTTTAGCGCGTGGAACATCGCCTGAGTATACCCTCCCCACGGAAGGCTACTTTGTGTACTCTCACCTATACCGAGTACCCGAGGGAGTACTAAGAAAAGTTTTATACGGCTAGACTCCGCCCGCGAGGTCCAACCCCTTACCCTTATATGTACCATTTTTGACAGGCAGGGTACCCCTTTATAATTATTATACCTCCTATTGCCAAATGGTACCCCTTTCACATATCATTTTATCCATTTCAACCGCTATAAATGTCTTTAAAATATGAATAAATCGCAAAACAGGAAAGTTATGTCGACTTCAACTGCCATAAAATCCTTTAGTAGCCCTTTTAGGTCATTTTACAGACCGAAATGACAGATTTCCGTACCGGCTTTCATATACTTCGACTGCAACCTCGGCCCTGGGAGCGAGGTTGACCTCGACTGGTGAAATACGGATCCAGTCATATACCTGCAGCTTGAAAAAGGTACACCTTTCGGGCGGAGCCTTCCCGTATAGGCCATTATAGGAAGTACCCCTTGGGACCGAGTATTGCTCGCTCAAAACTCTTTGTCAGTTTATATCCTTGACAAAGAAATTATGCTCTCAGTTGAGTAGGTGAACGCTATTGCATTAGCAGTTTAAAAACAAGTCAGAGGGGGGACATCCAAAGAATACCTGTTTATGCTTTTCACTTGGATTTCAGACTTTGGTTTTGCAATAAGTACGATCAAAAATCGTATGCTGGAGACGTTCTGTGGTTCGTACGCCTACTGCTGTCCCCAGATCCTCAGAGGAGAGCCATACGACGGTAAAAAAGCGGACGTGTGGAGCATGGGAGTGGTTTTGTATGCAATGGCCTGCGCAAGGCTGCCGTTTAGCGACGAAGATATGCGTGCTTTAGCTAAAGAGGGCTACCAGGGCAAGGTCAAGTTTTCCAAGAGAGTCAGTAAGGGTATGTGGATAAAAAGCAGTGGCGGATCGAGACCTTGAGATAAGCGTGGGCCAGACGCAAAAAACATTTTTTCGGCCCTTCGGGCCTCAGTTTGGTCTAAAAATAAGGGGAGTCCGGGCCCCTCGGCCCCTCCCCGGGATTCGCCACTGAAAAGTTAGAATTGTTTGGAATAAGGGAAAATAATCTAAAAGCAATTCAAATTCATAACGTACAACACTCAGAAAACTTACTTCTTAACAACGTGCGTTCATGGGTGGGACTGGTCAAATTTCAGGACTTCATCCAAAGGTTTTAAATCACTCGTATAGCTCAGAATGCTAAACACAAACAGGACCTCAGTTACGAGGGGATTGCTTACCGTCTATCAGTGGTCTTTGACGATTGTTGATCCATAGACTGAAATGCTAGCTTCCTCCAGACGACCTTACGCAGAAAAAATGCTTTAGTGCTGTAAGTCACTCCCAAGCTTAGGAGTTGTCACTTGAATCATCGCATCAAAATGTTCGTCTATCTTTAAGAAGCACTCAATATTTTTAGGCTCCTCGTGACTTTTATCCGCACCTTTTACAAGATTTTTCGAAAAATAATTGAATTTGAGAAAATCTGTTTTCCATGCAGAGGTAAATGCTGGACTTTTCTTGCGTGAAGGTGATAAATTTACTCAGAGACCACAATACTGACCTCTTTGTCTCCTTCTTTGCCATAGAATGTCGCGACTTAGTCCGCAATATGCTAAATGTGGACCAAAATGAACGGTTCTCTGCGGAGCAGGTATTTCGAAGCGCCTGGTGCATGAAGGCCCTCAAGGAGAATCCTGATCTACGGTACCTCGATGAAAATCTTCATGTAGCTTCCTTTCGTAAGCCTTCAGAATGTGTTCCTCAAGAAAAAGATGAAATTGGTAGGTATAACCTTAATAAAATTGGTTTGTTGTTAAGGCTGCTGAAGGCAGCCTCGAGGACAGTGCGCTCGTCTCCGTTTTCTAACGGGTTCTAAGCCCAAGTCCGCATTCGTTTATTGTCTCCATCATTTTTAGGTGAAGGCAAGTACTGGCTGAACAAGGCTCTTAGAGACGAACGTACTGTCTACGAGGCTGTGTTCAACTGCTTTAACAACAAACCAGATTTGAGCTTTGTATGAGCTAGGACTGATAGGATCTTATTTTGGTGCGTGTTTTAGGATACCATATAAATTTCAGACGTTCTTAAATAACATTTGACACTGGAAGTCCTGAATGACTTTCACGTGATGTGAGGAGGCCAAGGATGGCAGGGTAGGAGGGAGACAGAGCATACAAATTTTCAGCCAAACACTGACTATAATCTTTAAGGGGTAATTTCTCTATATCCATTATGGCCTGCGTAGTGGATATTACTGATATGCGCAGGCTACCCAGATTATTTTCCTCACGTTAATACTGACGAAATACAGTGTTCTTGACTGAAGTCCAGCCTGAGCTTTGTTTTTAAATGATGTTATCTAGTTTTCTCTTTCTAAGGCTCAACGTATGGTGTATAAAACGATGTGAGCGCAACACCATTTAATATCCTCTTAATCTCTGGTCAGCGTCAAACTTTTGATTTTACTTAGGATCGTCAATGCGTAACATTAACAGACAGTACAGTTAACAACGAAACATCTCCCTTAAATATACCCTGCATGCGAGTGATGAATCCTTCCTATTTGACCTCTGATTACATGTTTTATTTCATTCTATCAGAAGAGGAGGAATCTTACCCAGTAGATGTCCAACCTATTCACCCCAAAATAGGCCAGAAATCTAAAGTGGTCAATTGCTTCACTTTCGTACCGAAGCCTTGTCTACCAAAACAGAAACATGATCCTGGGCGACGTCACACTATATCTGGTTTCGAGATACATGATAAGAGCTATGGATTGAATTTACGCGATGACCTGCTTCGTAATTTAGCTCAAAAGGAAATGAAACAAAAGTCTTTAGATAAGTTTGAAGAAGAGAAGAAGGCATTGCCTGCAGAGTCTTACAACAGGCATAAAAGTCGGAGAAGGAGCACACTTGTTACGGACGTGCTGCAAACGGTGACACCACCCAAGGAAAAGAAAAACGAACCCTACCAAAGGAAGGCTTCCTTAGTATCTGACGTCATCAAATTTGATCCTAAAACCGTTGCAGAGAGACCAGGATCATTGGCAGGCTCCAAAGCAAATTTACTTAAGCCACCTCAGAATCAACCAGAAACTATAATGGAGGAGGGTACTAATTCTCCTGAGACGTCGGAGAATGCACATGAGCCGGCGACAAACCAATGTGCAAAAAGCCCAAGAAAGCGCATGCCTGGCGGTCGTGAGTCCCGCTTTAAAGAAGTTGACAAGCTTAAGTATACATCCGCAGCGAGAGCAGCCAAGTTGGCTTTTAAAGAGGCACACATTTCAATGCAAGCTAATCGAAGGCTCTCTTTGCAAGGTCTGGATCATTATTTGACTATGCAAACCGTAGTACAGCTACGAGGGATTGAAAAGGAACCTAGTACAAATACAAAGTTTATAAACTGGAAAAAGAAATTCAAAGTAGCCTTGGAAACAAATACCTAAAGTTAGTTTCTTCTCTTCACCCTTTCTGATAACATCCATAAAAGTTGAAAGTTCCTCTTTGTTGGTTGCGTCCTAGTGCAATTCACGATTTTCCTGGGTATGTCCTTAAGGATCTGCGGAAAGTGGGAACCTTAAGGCAAATCTGAAGATTTTTTCACGTGAATTTGTGTTGTTAGCGCCGCTTTTCAAAAACGGCGTACTTTTAAAATACCAAACCAATCAAACTACAGAACAATTCAGACAATATCGTACTACACATGCGTAATTTAAACCGACTCCCACCTATAAGTTGGATCGAGCAACGTTAAGTTGAACTCAGGTTGTACTCTGAACTCAACTTTAAGTTACGTTGTACTGAAACTAAGCTTATATCATCTGAGTGCAGTCACTGCGTTAATCAAATAAAACATTGTATTGCTTTAGCATTTAGATAAAATACCTCAATGTCACTTTTGTGTACTTAACTATTACCCATATTTCCTTGCGCGCATCTTCGTAGTCAAACAAAATATAAAGTATACTGACTTTCATGCCGTTGATTCACTAAACCGTTCTGGAAATTTCCTGAAAAGTTTTTAACCAGGGTTTGAAAGTGAAAACTACGGACTTGTGAGTTTTCAGTCAAAATCAAGTGTTCGTTGGTAAGGTATCTGACTCTGCGCACCTCAAGAAAAAACATAATGCATTGCACGTATTTACGTTTGCCGGAGTGAAGAGTGTTTGTTCTCTAGGCTGGGGTAGCGAGAATTAAAACAAGGACAATGATTTTAACTCCACCAAAGTAATCACACTCTTCATGCCAGTTCTTTATCCTCCGCCTGGGCTCTCAACTGGTATTTCAAAAATAAAATAAAAGGAAATAAAGTCAGCTGTATAAGGTCTCTCTCTACTCTGCTTGTAGACTTAGACAGTTCTCCTATTTTCCCTTCCCATCGTTCCCCGCGAGCTTTCTTTTCCCCTCTCCCCACCCTATTGGCGAAAAAAAGAGGCCTTTGTGCTCTGAGTAGACTTAAAGTCTTTTTTTGGTTGGCTCATATCAGTTAGGAGCTTCGCGCTCGTTCTCGCAACTTAGACGCTCAAAACATGTCGATTTGTGGACAAGTCTACAAGCGGAGTAGAGAGACGCAATCCAGGCTCCGTAACTGCGCAAGAGAGGAACCGTAACTGATACAGCTATAATTTCAAGACAAGACCGCAGGGTCACATAGGTAGCTGTATTTGGTCATAACTTCACGGTTGTCAGTACCACAGTAGAATCGTGCCTCATGGCTGAGTTAGAATTTTTTAATTCCCATGTTGCTTTGCAGTCTCCCCGGTTTGGCTTTCCGACAATATTAGTTGAAAGAAAAACTGTATTTTTTGGAATGTCCTGGAGCCTCACAAAGCATATTGCACTAAAAGAAAACAATACACTGAAGAGAGCACTCATTTCAAAAAAGCTTACAGCTGCTCGTATGCAAACTATTAGCACGTTTTAATCATGTTAATAAACTTAGACTTTATTATGAAAGCGGATATTCGAGTAGAATTGGATTAAGGTGGATTGGAAACAATTCACCGATTCTTAATTTAAATCAGCTTAAACTTGTCATGTTTAACAAATCATTAGGTATTATCCTTGTACGAACAATGTTATTGCACACATGAAGGAATGACACTTAAGTTAAGGGCTTTTCTAGGCGAGATAACAGCACTATAAATTCTCCCAAAATTAATTATCCCTGACAATCAATTAATAAATTTTGTGTTTATAATTCAGTCATCATTAATTCATGGCCCGGAAAGTCTTGGAGGTGACATCATATTTATTGACCTGCAGTAAATACTTGTAGCTTGCAGTTCAGTTTATCTGTGACAACAATATTCCCCTCTGGGGTTACTGCTAAGGCTTCAGGACCAAGGAACTGACCATCCCCCTCCCCACTCGTACCAATAGTGCTCAGAATTCGACCAGTGAAGGACAAGACTTTCACACAGTCATTGTTGTAGTCACACACAAGGAGATACTTGTCCTTGTAAACTGCGATTCCTGATGGCGCGCTCAAACCGTCTCCGCACGTTCTTAGAAACGTGCCGCGCGTGTCAAAAACTTTCACGCTGTCGTTGTCCGTGTCAGCGACGTAGAAACGCCCCTCGTGATAGATCGTGTAGCAAGGGTAGTTTAGTCTTCCTGGACCTTTGCTTCCAAACATAAACAGGAAGTTACCTTCATGGTCAAAAACTTGGACGCGTGAATTCATGGTATCTGTGACAATGATACGGCTATGGGCGTCTACGGATACCCCATGGGGACCTCTAAACTGTCCCTGTTCCTTTCCATGACGACCAAAGGCACGTATAATTGTAAAAGTTGGAGAAAGAATGACCACCCGGTTTCGGGCTTTTTCTACTACCACCATGTTTCCGGCTCGATCGCATGCGATCCCGGTAGGGCAGATAAATCCAAATTGTTTTCCGCTTTCTCTAGAGTAGTGGTCGTGAACTCGAATGATCTTTCCTTCTCCAGACAACACTTGTAATCTGTCATTGTTATAATCTGCCACAATAATATCGCCTTCTGGGTTGAAAGCCACCCCAACAGGTTCATCAAACCGGCCAATGTCTTCGCCTCTTTGCCCAACAGTAAACAGCAGTTTAAACTGTGGTGGTTTATTGTTGACGCAGGGCAGTGTTTTGACTCCCGTATCACATTTGTCACGGTCAATAGACATGCTATGCGCTTCAAAAACTCCATGTTGTGTGTTTAGATGATTTTTGAGGCCCACTAACGGTGTTGTTTGATGTAAACTGGAGTGAATTTGCAAACTGTTTTTCTCAATATCCCTCCAGGAACTAAAACTTTTGATCGCGGCTGTCTTGTCCTGCGTTTTGCAAACGTCCTTTTCAGAAAAGCGTCTCCAGTAGACTTGTGAGTCTTTCGGCAGGTTTTTGTGATCGTGCAGATCGTTCCCTGGAATCTCGTTGGTCACGTTTTTACAAAGATTCGTTTCTGTTACTAACACACCGTTCTGGGGTAACAAACTCTTTGCCATTCTCTCCGATAACTCAGCAGCCGAACTGTTATGAAGACCGTTGACAGACGCTTTAAATTCAACTTGCTCAGACGAAGTAAACTGAGGTGAGACCGATTGAATGCATCCCTGCAGCATATTTTCGTGTATAGAACCCAACACCTTAAGATTGTTCGGCATTTTCTGTTTCTGAGAAGGTCTCGAACTCAGCGGCGAGAGAACTTCACTTCTCAAGCTTTGCTACGCAATTGGCGAGACTAAAAATATCATGGCCTATTTACGTCTTTTCAAACACTGGCACGTTGACACGTTTCATGATGATTCTAGAGGCACTGTCAATACCTGAGAGTTATGAGACATTTATTACCCCAGATTAGCATTGGCAGTTCCACCTACCCTTGACGTGCGGTATTGTGTATTGTTAGACGCTATGCTTTTGTACTTCTATTGTTTGATTGGTGAATAATTTAATTGGCTTGTTTTCATGTTTGCCGTTTAGAAGAACAAAAAGGGCTGTTTTATTAAATCGCTCTTTAGAAAGCCCAACTCTCATTAAAACGTATTTTTACTTTTTAATACCCGTTGGGTAATGACCAATTGTCACATTAATCGGCCTCTCTGTGCGGACGGAATTATCGAAATAAACTCCACATCGCCGACGACCAGCCTGGCCGCCGACAGTCTAGTTTTGGCGAAGAATGCCAGCAAAGTGTAGAAGGAAAAGAAAAATCGCTGTGGCGACATTGTGAATTTCTAAGGATTTATAGAAAGAATAAAAGAAAAATAGAAAAAACTTCTTTTTGCTAATAGTATTTAAAACGTTGAAAGGCTGGCTTTATTGATACGTGTTAAAGTGCTAGCCTGTTGAACGGAAGCTCCAACACCCTATAGTTCCTGAACGAAACAATTGAGGTACCACCAGAGATTATCTGTAAATCGTTTAATCTTTTTAGGAAAAGGAAAAACGTAAATCACGTCCAAGCCACTTTGCTTCTTGTACTGAAATCTTGTTGACAAAATGAACGCTTTAAAAAACCCAACTTGAGTTTAATTAATTATAACACTTGCTTATTATTTGTGTTAACAACCCATGACTAGGTGAAAATCATTTAAATTCGGCTAATTTGAACCTTCGTTTATCAAAAACGGCAGTAGATATCATCTCTGTGAATGGATTATCTTTATTTCGAAAAAAATTTTTTTTAGTTTACGCTGTTTGCCGACTTGACGCCGCTAACTGAACAGAGAAGAAAGTTTACATGTTGGGGTTGACGCCATATTGAAAAATAGAGCGAACGCGCTTTTGTTTTAAAACCGGCTGAGCTCCGTTTAATTTCAATAACCAAACCCTTATTGTTGAGTAAACAATACGTGGATGACTAATAAACGTGCGGCAACATAACACAGTTTATGTTTATGTTGTGCCTGAAGTTGTGAATTCGTGATTTTAAGCGTGTCCAATCTCAGTGGGTCATCTATATGGACAAACGTGTTTTTTTAAAACCCCGAGGGGGTGGCGTACTCCCTTATATGGGCTATATAGGTATGTGCGGTCCTAAAGGGTATGGTTTTTAGCCGTTTTTGGTCTGAAATAGGGTATGGTCTGTGCACTCTTGTCTTGGAATTTAGAAGAAGCTTCTTATTCATCATTAGGCGATAAGACCATATACAACCTGCTTTATAGTGCAAAATGTTACAAACACAAACAATTATACTTATTTCGTGTTATTTTTCCTTGGAAGTGGCGACGTTTATTGCTTATAGTGTGGAATCAAGCTCGAAACTGCACAGTTTTGTATCCTACTTAATAAAAGCGTGTAAACATTGCTTCTAACATTGGTCTGACCTAGAGAACTGATTATAAGGCAGGTCTGAAATAGGGTAAGGGTGTCAGGAAGCGTGCCGCACACCCCCTCCAATTTTTCTGGAAGTACCCCCCGGGATATGTTTACAGAGCCTCACACTACGGGATACGTTTCACGCGCCGAGTTCTACAAAAGGATCTCAGCGGGGTGCTGGCTTTTACCCTTTTGGCGATTTTTACAAGTGACGGTTAATTCTTTTCGTAACGGTGAAAAAGTTTAAAATTTATTTTGACATCATTATATAAAGGTTTTGACAACGGTTGTTAAACAACCCTAGACGAGTTTATGTTGAATAGGAACAGGAGCAATTAGGTCCACAGTAGTTGTTAATTGGCGCTCGCTGCTACTGTGTCCCCGCCTGTGCTCCTGTGAATATATGTACACTTCTTTTTTTTGTAGTGTCACTTATCGTATATCTTATTGTTTGGCGAAGTTAATGAAATAATTATAAAATAAACCACGAGATACGCCACAAATGAACACTTTCAAAGTAGACATATTTCAGTGTTAACTGTGGTTAGAAACTTTACCGAGATAGGGTAAGGCATCCTCGTCCCTAAGGCGTTCTCGGCTCGGTAAATCCTGGCCTGGACGCTACAGTGAGCTGTGACGTCACCGAGAAAGACTTTCCCAGACTTCGCGCGGACAACGGGGCAAGAGAGAACGCTTAGGACTGAGGCCGGAAGCGACTGTCAGTTACAGTTTTAAAGGGGAGGGGAGGGGGAGGAGGCTCACGCCACATACAAAAGTTATTGTGGTAAGAAGGAACCCCGCCCCACGGTAATGATGAACGCCAAAGGTGGCAATATCTAGAGAGCTCCGTGGTTCTTGCTTCTTGAAATTTGAATATTTTTTTCTACGAAATACGGTTTCCAGGAGCCCATAAAATTTGATGGGCTCCTGGGTTTCTAGCATTATAACAGTTGTCAATTCAAGGACAAGTCAAGGCGTTTTTAATAATAAAACAAATGCAGAAAAAATCGAAATGGCCTTTCAGCTTTATGCTTACAACTTTCTGAGTGAAGGTAAGAGTTAATTTTAAAATAACATGTTTGAATATGGAACCGTGTGGATCCTGCACCTGCGGTCTCGTATACCCCCATTATGGCTCCAGATAACAGGGGAATTAAAAGGCGCCCAGGGAAACAACCGGCGCGCGAGGGAGAACGCCGGCTGCGCGTCATGTACTCGCGCGCACGCAGTTCCCTATTGGAAGCAACCAAGCAAAAAATAAATCAGTATTCCCTGTATTTTTCCTTCTACATTCTTAGTGTCATTGATTTCAATTCGACGAATGTGAGCTGATGAGTATTTCTTGTAATTTTAAGGAAGAACTATGGAGCGCATGTGGTAGAATACAGGCCCAATCCTTCATTGATACTCAGCGTCCGCGAGTGCCCATAAAATCTTCCCATCCCCCGAGCTTTGGTTATCCAGTTTTTCTCAGAACTCCCATCTCAAATTCCCCGCAAGCCTTTCCACTTTGCCCTTGACAAGCTGATTAGAATATAAAGGCAGGTAATGGGTTTCATAATTACTTGTATCAACAAACAACTGATGCCAAAACATCAACTTGGGTTACCATAAAGTTGTTTATTTTCAAGGGATTGATTAATTAAGGGCATAAGACAGTGCCGAAGTCACGTATCCTCAAACTCTGTTTTGCCCGCCCAAGAGGTCGAGGCAAGAACAGTTTGAAGACATGAACAAGTGCAACTCTAACTTTTGAGACCGTAGGTGAAAGCTTGTGGCGAGATAGTCTGTTTATTTACAGCATCTTCACCTGAATGCCTCCAAGGGCTAATGGCTTTTCCATTTAATGAAACCTACTTTTCAATTACAGTCAACCCCGTTAATACGGATACTGAGAGGGCCATATAAAGTGTTTGTAGTAACAATTTGAATTTGGAGACAATATAAGGGCTTTCTTTCTCCAGGGACAAAGCTGAAACTGTCCGTAATGATGAGGTGTCGATGTTAGTGGGTGTACGTACGAGCGGGTTTGACTCTTTCAGCTGTACTTTCCCTTGTTTTTGTCAGTTGTTTTTGTTTATTTTTTCCTTTTCATATCCGCACTCTTTTTGCATTTAACCCGTTGAGTCCTAAAGAGTAATCGACACCAATTTTCCTCCATCAGTGTCAGTACACAATCAAGAGAAAATATTATAAGAATTAATAGGATTATCACATAATGTTTTGATCGCTTATCAAATTCTCTGAACTAGTTCTTTAGGAAATGTATATGTAAATCAGTGTGGAGAATTTGTATTTTGATATTGGGTCTTATAGCGCCGGGGAGTAACTCGTGTAGGAAAGAACCTCGGGATTTAAACAGCCATCTTTCATTCCTGTGCTGAGCTGATAGTCAGTGATTCCAGGATAAAAAGCGGAGCGAGACCGTTCACATAAAACTGATAGGAGACGGCTGATTTTTCAAGGCCAGTCCCCCTAACCCGTGGGGTTCGCGGGAGCATAAATAATACGGGATCTCAAACCCGGACCGGGCGTTTTTTCTTTTCTTTTTTTTGAGAAAGCCAGAGACATACAGCGGCATGGAAATAAAACGGCAGGCTGGGTCTCGCACACAGTGTGCACGTGCGCACCTGCTCTGCAGGGCAACAATCTTAGCCAAAATAGATACTCCCCTCCCCCTGCCCCCAAATTAAGTATGGGAAAACGGCGCGTTTTGCCTTCCGCACGGCTTCATCCTTGATTGGGGGAATGGGGGTTTGCTGGTTCATTTTATCAGGTCCAAGATTCGCGAGCACGGTGACTTTTGAACTTCGCGAATTTTAGATAGAGCGACTGAGTGCTGTTAAGAACCGGTCTTGCTGAGGCACGTCTTGCGTCCTTTAACCCGGAAATTCACGTACTTGACTAGGAGCTGAAGAGACTTAAAAGACGCACGTGCTGGCCTGCTTGTGCATAGAGGCGAGATATCTTCCAATCTTTAACCCAGTTATGTAAATGATAATTCTAAGCGACGAAAGAGCTAAGGATGAGCCAAAACGCATAAGAAGAACATGGCTTTGATCATGTTTTGAAAGCGTCTTGCCACACGTCATTCTGGACACTCATCTGACTTATTTCTATTACCAAAGAGTTGTTGAATGCCTTCACTCAAGCTTTAACGACAATCGGCTTTATCCTAAGCAAACAGGTACACCCCAAAACAAGCTTGATTACAATTGAAACGTTTATTCAATAAATAACAGAATTAGATCCGGGCTAAACAGGTATCAGTTTTCTTTAGCTCGTCAAAACATTCGAAAACATTGATAAATTCATTGACTTTACCTGTTTTATATTAATAATTTTTAAATAAACGGTTTCTTTTATAAAAAACTGATGTGCTGGCTTTCTCCTGAGTATCCGCAGCAAAACATTTCGCGCTGCAACCTCGAGCGTAGAAAAGCCCTTATACATGTAAGCCAATAAAAGCGTACCACCCAAAACTCCTAAACACACCACTATCTATTTCATGAAATATTCTCCATTCTAATTAAATAGTCGAAATTTTTTGATCAAATTTCATAGTTGTTCATAATCAGTGAAAATACAGTTACTGTCTTATACAGGCGTCTCCAAAGCGTGTTTGGATTTAGCAAGTCGCGTAGCCGAAACAGACCCCTTTTTTGTATCCCCGGAAACTACAACGCTGCTCAAATGCTCACGAAGTAGCTGGCATTGTTTTACAGCAGGGCAATTTGTTACGTCCAATATTTCGACAAAACTGAACCTCTGGCAAAATTCGACGATACCATCGCTTGTCAGAGATCGGGAGTGGCTCACGTTGATTGCTTTCAGTTTTTGTGATCTCCAGTATGATAAACTAGCTCCTAGATTTATTAGAATATCATCATCCACTGCGTTTTCTTTTCCGATAGCGCAAAGTCCCAAGTATTCTAATGTCTGGATTTTTGCAATCCGAGGTAGGGCTTTTGTAAGCCCCGCTTCGCTGACCAGAGGGCACCATCCTAAATCGAGGTGTTTCAAACAAGAATTACGCCAAGAGATTTCGGCAAGTGTTTCGTCCTCTAAGCTGATCCCGTCTAAGATGAGTGTCTTGAGCTCTTTGCAGGAGTTCAAAAATACCTCAACGCAAGTCCCACTGAGGAAGCAACATTTGCGAACACTGAGTACTTCCAATTTCTTGCAGCGCGCAAACAAAGCCATGGTGCTGTCTTTAAGCAACAAGCAGTGACTAACGTCAAGTTTACGCAAATGTTTCATGCTGTCGATAGCTTCCTCCATCCTTCCCTCCGCTAGAAGATTTTGAAAAAAGGCGTCAGAAAGACCTAGCCATTTGACTTTACTGAGAACTTTTCCAATCGCGCGATATACGCGCGGGTTGCCATGCGAGAATCGGACGTCAAGATATTCGAGGTCACCGGGAAAAAGCACATCCTCTTTGCTTTGAGTTTTATTGCGGTCTACAGCAAAGGTCACGCTCTTCAATTTCAACTGGCGTAATTTTTTACAATGAGTTGCGAGAACTCGTAGAGAATCTTCGGTCAGTAAAAACCCGCTTAAATCCAGACATCGTGTTTTATTGGCAAGTCGGTTGACAGCCAGTGCTTGAAACTTTTCCGAGTCGACCAGAGATGTGGAAAATCTCTTTAAATTGGTGGTTTTCCACAACAGCAAGTCGTAAGATAGCCTTTGCCATAGGCGACAAACTTGACAAGCACGGAGCAGGTCCTGAGTAGGCAGAAAACGGAAGATTTTCAAGAGTGTTCCTTCGTCCAGGTCGAAAACCGGCGCAACTTCGTCCAAATTTAAATGAGCTTTGATGGGGGGTAGGTAAAAATAACTGCTTAACGTAGATAGCGTTGAGTTGAGGGCTTCGTCCAATCCAGCAGAAAATTTCTGCATAGTTGATAAAAGCTTTGCTGTGCCGGTCTTCATCGTGTTCATGATGCGTTCTCTCATAGAGAAGAATTATAGTATGAAAAAATACATTTGCAGAGGTGCATTTTAACTACCCCAGTCGAATAAAGTCATAAGACATACGACGCTCTCGTGTTTCCGTTTTTCACGTGATCGCGACTGTGAACCAAAAGACTCTCTTGCGTGAACAGAGGAGAAAGATACCACATGCACACACAAAAAATTGGCATTAGGATCCAAATTCTATTGAATCAAATCTTCCCTGACACAAATATCTTTACGTGATCACCTCATGGGCCTTTTTTTTATTGTTTACTGTGAAAGCTGCTTGCCTTTGCCCAATGATTTTTAGAAATCACCAATCCGCGACACAGCTGCGTTGCTGAAGAGCACGTGCAAAATAAGTTGTAAACGCGTGCCACAGTCAACATTGTGTGAGAATTTGTCCACGTTTTTAAAAGATGAAGTTTTATTTTTGAACTTTTTTTCACTGGTAATAGATGAGACTATGTTGGAGTTGGACTATGTCAATTTTTACCCCGCAGTATGAGAGACCGGCAAAGTAGATGTATCCGTGGTTAGGCGCCTTCTTGCAAGAGTGTGATATTTAAAAATCCTTCAACACCTAAGCTCTGATTAGCAATTCTCCTCTCTAGCTGCGATACATTTTATTATACATTAGTAAGGAGAATTTGGGGTTATATCAATATGACATTAACTGGCTAACAAATTTGCCTATTCTTATCTCTCATCACCTATAGATGTATTAGGTATAATAAGAAATTACATGTCAATGATCAATCTTCTTACTGACCCTACATGAATGATACAAATACGATTAAGAGCTTACAGATAAATAAAAATTGGGAATAGAAATTAATGGCAAACAATGCAACGGAAAAACATCACTGACATAGCTTGCAAAGTATATCTATGGACTTTTCTGATTAACTCTCACGGATTTTTTTCGAGGGGAGGGGGCTTCTTTACACAGCCTAACTGAACGGGTGTTACTCTATTTTAATACAGTCTTTTATTGTTTAAAAACAAAAATTGAATGAATAAAAAAATGTTTGTTGAACGTTTATGAGGAAAAAAATGTCAAGAGGATTTTTTAGGGTGTTTGCGGATATATTTATCTAAAGTTATATATGGTTGTTTTACGGCAAACTTTCCTATTATCTTTATTAAGTTATCTTACTATTTGACTGTTCTCATAGTTTTTACTTGTAAGTTTGATATGTGTTTTCCGAGGTATTTTCTTCTAACGTGAATGTCTTCGGCGGAGACACAGACGTCTCGCCTGCATCTCCGCACTAACACTTCTTTTCATACAAAATGTTGAAAGGCTTTCGTGAAGATACGGAAGCCTCGTTTTTGTTGCTAAAATTGATAGTTTTGACCTAAACTTAACCCTTCATAACTGCTTTCCAGGAATTGACTACCATATTTATTTGCAACCCTCTTTGTTGTATCGGCATTCAGTTTTCAACCGAACTCATGGCAGTATACAGTTTTTACTTTAATTAGAAATATTGTAATTGCAATAAGGTGACTTGACGAAGTGTTTTTAAATCACTGTAGACATTTATTTATCTAATTTCTGCTCTGGACTGCGCACTGTATTTTTAATTTATCTTCTGAATATTTCGGCGGCGTCCATATTTAATTTATAGAAAAGTTTAGCCAATCATTCGAAGAAAAAGCTTTACACCCGCTGTGGTTCGACTACTTGACAGGATTTTGGGGGGGATCACTTGATTTTTAGGAGAACAGAGGGGGGGATCAGTCGTAACTGAGAGCCCAAAAGGGGGGATCACTGAAAATTTTGGAAGGATTCAGAGGGGGGACCACTCAAATCTGCTTGAACAGTGCCAGTTTGAAAGCATACAACATAAATGTGCCCATTCTGCTGGGAGATGATAGCATTTGCAATCTCAATTTGTTCTAACACGACTTTATTTAAAAAACGGAAGTCTGTCACACTGGCGAATGTGTGCATTTCAATTTATATCGAGAAAGCTTTGTTTTAACGCTTTTATATTTTTCCTTTTATAACGTGCTTATGACTTAGCTAATATTCATCTTTAAACATGACAGGTGAATTCTAAATTGTGAACTGTATAAACTTCTGATAACTGAAACATTGTAAAAAGCGTGTTTGTTAAAACATAAACCATTTATCGCCTCTCCAGGAATGGGCGTCCTGTGTCAGCTCTATACTAAATTCGATTCAACTGCTTCATCTGCCTCATCTTGAGCCTCATCATCCCATTCAACAACTTCATTTGCCTCTTGAGCCTCGTCATCCGATTCAACAGCAACATTTACTCCCCTTCGGCAGGTTGACCCTGGACTTTCTGCCCTTAAAATGGCCGCTACTTGCTCTAGATTTTTTGCGAGGGTCGTGCTAAAAATACCCTTTTCTAGTAGCCATAGCAAAGGGTCTAGATGCAAACGCCTTGTTAGTTTCTTAGCAAAGTCAGCATTGATGCTATCTACAGGAGTAACTCTATCATTCTCTTCGATTGAACCGAAAATTTGCCCCGCGACCTCGATTGAGGTCAAGTTTCCTAGGAGATGACGTGCCCTCTGCTTGAGTCGCTTGTCCTTGGTTTTTCGGACCTTCCTCTTATTTTTCTTCTTTTTTCTTGACATTGTTGATTTTCTCGCTCACAAAGGAAACTTCTTTGACAGGTTAATATGCGCTGTTGTCAACTTGTTGGATGCGGACTGAAGTTTCTCGTGCAGTGTAGTGATTCGCCTATGTGCTTCTTCTAAATAGGCCAACTCATCGCCTGCAAATGACTTTAGAGTGTGGTCCTCTGAAAACAGCTCCTTACGTTTGCTATCGATCAATGACCGTAAATCCAATTTGCATTTTCAAGCACTTTGCAGTTTTAAGCAAGATTGCTTGTATGTCAACTGAGTTCAGATGTCTGGATCCAGACTAGAAAAAGACACGGATCAAGAGACACTTTTAAAAAAAGACTGCGCGATAACGGCTTTATTATGCTGTAAAATACTACCTGTATATGAACGTTTAAAACACTAAATATACACGTCGAAAGGTGAATATGGGTACAAAGACATGGGGGGGATCACGAAAGTTATATATAGTTATGAGGGGGGATCACTTCAATAAAATAACATTTAAAGGGGGGATCGGCTAAATTTCATCGTGTTTAGCCCAAAATTCTCGGACCCCCCATAGGCGATAAATAATGACCGGTCCCTTAGTTTGGCCAAATTGACACGAATTTGAAGAAAACGGTCAGCGCTGTTTCTAGTGTTTCTAAAGTGTTCCTCAGTTTCGCCTTTCTTTGTTTCTTTTTGCATTCCTGTATTACTCACGTGTTTTACGCTCTCAAGCGTGTTTCACTCCCTTTGAACTAGAAATTCATTTCGTTACTGGAGGTCCTCCCACAGAGACAAAAAAGTGGCACGTGCAGGAAGTTCGAAATTATTTAAGAAAATAAACTGAGGTGTTGTATTTTCAATGATTTTTGTTTATAATTATTTTCGTTGGCTTTAAACTAACGATGTGTGAAGGATAAACATTTTTTTAAAAAATCGTTTTGACACACGAAGCAAATACCGTAAAATTCCGAAAATAAGCCCAGGGGCTCAGTATATTTTTCAAAGGCCCTTTTTGAGGGACTTATATTCGGAGGGGCTTATCTACGGAGGGAAATTTGCGTTTCAAATCGATTGGGCTAGCCTTATAGCTGGAAGTAAATTTACCGGTTTTGCTTTGTTTTACTTTGTATTTGAGGGCAATTTTCAAAGTACAAGCCCCCGGGGGGCTTATATTTGGAGGGGCAATTTAACGGAGGGTTTTTTGCGTTACCGGTTTGGGGGGCTTATATTTGGAGGGGCTTTTACATGGAGGGGCTTATTTTCGGAATTTTACGGTATAAGTGAAACATTGAGCCAAACCTGAGCCAAACTGAGACAAACTTCAGGAGTGAAAGAAAAAAACAGTCCGCGCTGTTTCTAGTGTTTCGAAAGTGCTCCTGAACGCAGTCGGCGTTAAAATCTTAATTCCTCAATGTAAAACTGCCGAAGGCGACTTTTCTTTACGGTATCTGACAGCATTCAAACGCAACAAGAATGGATATCGATGAAGTTGATATTAATGGCTCTGTTAGATCGTTGGTTGGTTTAAACTGACATTAAAATAGAAAATAAACTTACAAAATGTAAAACTGCTACAAAGCGACAAAATAAACCGAAAATGAAACTAAAACACGGACTGAGACTTACATTGTGTAGCACTGTAAACTCGCATGAAGAAAGAAAACTCTGCCGATGGAGGAAAAAAAATGCACGATGTGCACTCCACTAGGTGACACTTTAAAAGTGACTAAATAATTCTGGAACCTAAACTTAACTAAAAAATCAAAGATGCAAATCAGAACGAACTACTTCTCCCGATGGCGCCTGATTACAGTTGGCTATTGTTCTTGGGTGTTAGATACAACACCTCAGGTTTAGCTATCTGCGTTCCTTTTGGTATCCCAGTATTGGTTGATGGGGGGGGGGGGAGGGGGTGAGGAAGGAGGCTTCAGTATGAACAGTACGGGGCAGCGTCCTGTATGGAGACATGGCTAGGGGAATCAGAACAGACACCCAACCAATTCTGTAGTGATTAACGTAATGATTGCGTGAAAGATATTTGAATTGAATGCTGTCATCGACAAACTGTAGCCTGATGATGGCGTCCATTAACGATACCTGTAAAGCTTTAATTGAGGCCCATCTCAAACAAACGCTTCTTGTCTAATTAGTGCCCCCTACGGTATGTTAACTTTGAATTGGACGGCCCCTCTCTAATAAACGCCCATGTCTAATACTTCCCCCCCCCCCCCCCCCCACCGCCGCCCATAAAAATTACTCCAAATGCTAGGAAATAGCGCATAAAAGGAGCAAAATCATTCAATGATCTTCAACTTAGTCAGTTTCTTGCTTGATTAAAGGTTTGTACATTGAATCTTGGTCAATATCAAGTTTAAAGAAAGGATAGGCTAACGATGACAGTGCAATCGTCCTGTACGAAGATTCTGACATCGAGGATAAGATATAAAACAGAGAAAAAGCCGATTATAGCGTGCAAAGCGAGGGGCGAGAGATCGCGCGAGCAAGCGGAGAAGCACTCGCATCTCCTTTTGTGTGTGTCTCTCGCGCGAATTCTCTCGACTCTCTCAAATGGAGAACTTGCTCGCAATATATGAGGGATTAGACGTGTCAATGTTTAGACTGGATATTTTGCTACTGAGGAACTTAATTGGTGTTTCTGGTAAAGCATGTTAGACATCGTAGTTTTTTTGAGCTTGCTACAGTTAAGAGAAAAAAACAGGCAAAAAAGGCGTTAGTTTTTCTCGTTTTTCAGGCGCCCGAAGGCAAGCTCGAAGTGAACGAGGAGCGCGAGACGAGTGCATTTTCCCCCGTCGCGCGTGTCTCGCGCTCTACACCCGCTCTGTGCTTCGTTCGCCTGAAAAGCGCGAAAAATCGCCGTTCTACAGGCTAGAGAATAAACATCTGTCTCTCTAGTTTTAAAAAAGCTTCCTGTCGAAAAAAACACCCCTTCTTGGACGCATGAAATTAAATCTAAACTCGCTGTATGTCTCTTAGATTATTTAAGGTAGCCAAAAATATTAGAGAAGAAGGAGCGTCCAGTTTCTTTTTCATATTCCCGGTGTAATCTCCTTCGATTCGTAGCCGCTAGGGCTGTAGTGACGCAATGCTCCCTGCCACCAGGCGTGGGGGCGGGGAGCTTGCGCGACTCCGGCTCGAGCAGCTGTGAAAGAAACTACGCCGGGGGTCGAACCCCAAAATAAAACATATTCAACTCTATTGAGTGTCAAACAAAAATAACAATATCAATCGGCTGGACTTGCGGTTAAGAAAGTACTACCGCAACGGGTCTTTTCTAAACAAAAAGAGGCTTGATTACACTTTCAACCTTTATTTACATATCATAGAAAGAAGCCGTTAACTGGGTTAAGAAGTACCAGTTTTGGCTTCTTTCAGTAAATTAATTTTAAATACATGTATATGATCAACTGGCAAAGCTTTAGATATAGCAGATTGAAACTAACCCTATTTTGCTAAACTTAAACTAAACTGGGGACAAAAAATCGTATCCTTTCAGTAGCATATAACTGCTGTGAGACCGTATCTTCTACTTTGTTGAAGAAAGAGAGGGGTAAAAAAAATTTAAAGGTTATATCAGACCAGATCGACTATGAGCAATATCTCAACGTCCTGTCTCGTCATTAGCTCGTCATTTTGTTTGCCGATATTCGTTTTGTTATCTCACGTAACACTTCGAGCGCTACCCACAAGAAAACTGAGAGGCAGCGTAAACGTAGGCTCATATGCCACGCGCAATACTCACGATCGTTCTTTTCGATCGAGCATTCGCATGGTAGGCCGAGGTGAAATATATCTCTATATGGAGCAACAGAGTTTAAGGCGACCCAGGCGGAGTTAAAATACTGTTAAAATACCGGACATCAGATCGCAAAAACTGGTTCCGCTCAATCATATGAACTGTGAGCTATTAATTTTTGGCAGGAAGTGCGTAACCTTCTTAAGTATGCGATGATATTTTCACGGTGCCCCCTTCAAAGACACATTGACAAACGTGAAAGATGTTCTCAAAAAAACAAGTAAAACCTGTAAAACGCGTTTGCCCGCAAAAAAATGATTTATGAGAAAACAAATCTGAGATAAAAATTATCAGTGAAAGCTGTTTAAGAAAAAGTCTTTCAAAAAGTTGGTACAAACAAGTTATCGCCTAAACCTAAACTATCTGAATCTTGCTTTCTCTCAACTTTTCCTTTGAGAATATTTGGCGAAAAATACTAAATTAATTGTTAGTTTTAGGGTCATAGCGGCCTAATTCTAATGGCAAACAAAAGTTGTAATTGAATAGAGGAGTATAAGAATTATCCGGTTTAGCTTAGACTGGAGTTTCTAATGTAAATTTGCTGTTGGCAAATTGCGCAGCACTGACATATCCCTTTCTTCTCTTTCCTTTTCCGCATGCCTCTCCGGAAATCTCAACAACTTCATTATTTTCATGAAAAATCTGATTATCGTGATCGTTTTCGTGCTCTTCTCCTACTTGGGTTGAATGTGATTTTATAGCAGGGCAATCTGTTGTGTCTAACATCTCCACAGGACTGCACGATCGGCTGAATTCGTCCACCCCGTCTTGTGATAAGGATCGAGAACGGCTTACGTTTAATACTGGCAATTGTTTGGATCTCCAGCATGATAAACTGGCTCCTAGATTTATAAGAATATCATCATTCAATGCTTTTCCTTCCCCGATAGCGCAAAGTCCTAAGTATTCTAATGTCTTAATTCTTGCAATCCTGGGCAGGGAACACTTTAGTCCCTTCGGGGTGACCATAGGGCACCACCCTAAATCGAGGTGTTTCAAACAAGAATTACGCCAAGAGATTTCGGCAAGTGTTTCGTCCTCTAAGCTGATCCCGTCTAAGATCAGCGTCGTGAGATTTGTACAGGAATCCAAAATATCGTCAACGAAAGTCCCACTGAGGAAGCAACATTTGCGAACACTAAGTACTTCCAATTTCTTGCAGCGCGCAAACAAAGCCAAAGTGCTGTCTTTGAGCAACAAGCAGTGACTAACGTCAAGTTTACGCAAATGTTTCATGCTGTCGATAGCTTCCTCCATTTTTCCCTGTGCTAGAAGATTTTGAAAAAAGGCGTCGGAAAGACCTAGCCATTTGACTTTACTGAGAACTTTTCCAATCGCGCGGTACACGCGCGGGTTGCCATGCGAGAATCGGATGTCAAGACATTCGAGGTCACGAGGGAAAAGCACATCCTCTTGGCTGTGAATTTTTTTGCGATCTACAGCAAAGGTCACGCTCTTCAATTTCAACTGACGTAATTTTTTGCAATGAGTTGCGAGAACTCGTAGAGAATCCTCTGTAAGTAAAAACCCGCTTAAATCCAGACATCGTGTTTTATTGGCAAGTCGGTTGACAGCCAGTGCTTGAAACTTTTCCGAGTCGACCAGAGATGTGGAAAATCTCCTTAAATCAGTTGTCTTCCATAACAGTAAGTCGTAGGACAGTTTCTGCCACAAGCTACACACTCGACAAGCACGGAGCAAGTCCTGAGTAGACAAGAAACTAAAGATTTTTAAGAGTGTTCCTTCGTCCAGGTTAAAAATCGGCGCAACCACCGCTGAATGCTTGGATTCCCTAAAAAAGCCAGTGAACACAGTGAGTGCAGCGTTCAGGACCACTTCCATTTTAAGAGGAAACTGGACATCAGCGATGAGCATGACTCTGCCGGTCCTGATATATTTTGAGATGTGATCTTGGTGACTGGCACAAGTTTCTGAAGAAAGATTCCTACTGCATACGTGTTTTTTTTACTCGTAATCCAATGAACAGTGCTCATGCTGCCTGAACATTGATTGATATGAGGCTCTCAGGGTCTAGGGTTTCCTTCCCTGCACGTGAACAGTTGATACCTCACACGACTTCGTAAACACATGAAAAATTGTGTATGTATTTTCAAGAGGTATTTAGTCGGCTGGGCACATTATGGAACATCGATTTCTTAGAAGCAAACTATCCATTATTTAGAAGGGCATTTGTTTTTTTGAGAATAATATTAATAATATAAAAATAAAATACTGGACATATTGGGGTTTTATTTTACAGTCGGTTATGATCGAAATTGAAGAACCTCTGAGTCAAAACAGAAGCCAAGATTGCTACCACGTGTACAACGGCAAGTACAATAAGAGCTCGTGTTCGTGATAGAGAAAGGAGGGGGACACAAAATGCGAATAGAGTAATCACAATCAACATGGAAAAAAAATTCTTATATATGAATCATGCGCTTCACTGTTTGACTCTATTTGTTGTCTTTAGCTTTTTCTGTATCGTGCCTTACTATTTTCGTAAGTATTCCATTGTTTTCAAAATAAACACGCCGAGATGGGACATTGAACTGTGGGGAAAATTGGAGGAGCTCGCAATTCAAGATGTGCGTTTGACCTTTTCATCCGGTCAAAGTGAACGTTCTAGTTTCGCGGTTTACATCGAGAGGAAAATTCTCATATCTGGTCCAAACTTGGATCAGCTGAACAGGCTTTTTCAAGACGTCCGCTGTCAAAAATAAAAAGAGGGAATGACAACGACTACGACAACAAAAACACAAACATCAAAATCCACCAAAATACTGGATCTAAAAAGGAGGCGCGCTCCATTAACTCAGCTGGGAACCGCTATTTACAGACGGTCCGGCGGGCTAATAAATTTTACTGTAGGTAACAAAAAGTAACTACGTTTTTGAAAGTAGAAAAGTGAAAAGTGAAATCTGACTCAAGTTGTCTGCAACCTGAGAATGAACCAAAAACGTTCAGAACGTTAGGAATAGGACGTGGCTTATACGGATCGGGGAAGGAGTACTTAACTAGACAAGGGGTTTAGACTCTGAACTTTGTTTAAGACAAAATCTTCTCATAATGCTTCTATATTAGGCAACACCTCCTCTTATATTATGTAATTCTGTTTTAAAGATCAGAATTACCTTTCGCTACGTAAAAAAAAAATGTTTTGCTTGTTTTTTTCAACGAACTCCTGAGGAACTGCAAACGAACCTTAGGAACGCACAGACGCCTGACTGCATGAGTTTATTCCAGTGAATGAACTCCAAAAAGACACCCTGTTAATTGTTTTACTATCATGGTTTAAGACGAAAAGTAGTTAATATGTATACCCGGCCTGTTGAAGAACCCTGTTAGCGGCACGCGCTCTTTAAGCTAAAAGAAGAGTTCCGTTCCCCCCGTCTTCCCACATAGCGAGTCACACGATCCCTATTAACAAAGATTTTAAGGTCAAATGCTTTCGTAGGCATGGAATTTTGGTTGTAGACTAGTATATATTTCGCAGATGTGGACTTTTTGGCTGTAGTGATGTTATCAGAAATTTATTCGTTATTAATTTGGACAAAAAAGAAGAAAATTACAATAACTAACAGATTCAAACTGTTTAAACGAAAACACCTATATCCTTATTGAATACATAAATCGGCATAAAATGCCTGAGTTCTAAGGCGAGCGAAGATAAAAGCGTCAAAGCGTCGACTCTCGAGGTGTTCCCTGCAAAATGACAAACATATTTTGAAAATATTTAGGTAATAAACCAAAGTCAGAAGACTGAAACGGCCAGTACCGCTATTGCTAAAGCAGTAGAAGATGAAGTGGGAGGGTGTTTTTAACACAGTTTGTACCGGCCTTTTTCGGTGTTTGAAACAATTTTCGTGTGTTCTCTTTGTGTTTCCTGTACTGGTTAATCCGGCCTTCTGCAGAGTTATCCGTGATTCCGTGCAGGAAAGCTCTCTGCAAGAGACGGATTGTTATACTTCGCACTTGATCTAGTGTTGTTTCATGCCGGCCGAGGGAAGGGATTATACTTTAAGTAGGTAAAACTCACGGTGGTTGTCAAAAGAGGTCCAAACCCCGGCTTTACCTAGTACCAGTTTTAACCAAAAAGATACACTATTACATAACTTCTAAAACTTAGATCAAAGACCCTTTACCGTTCGTAGTTAAAGCATATTACGAAGAGGCAGTTTGAAGGGGGGCGGGGGGGGTTGTGGGGCACGAAAATAGAGAGATTATAGAGAGTTATTATGTCATGTTATTGTGAACGCCCTTGCCTACCCTCTTCTGAAATGAACTCTCCCTTTAGATTCGAGACATTTTTTAATTTCAACACCTATTTTATAACGATATAATCTTACACTTTTTTCTGTATGGATATTGCTACCAATCTTGCTATTATTTACGTTTGGTAATGACCTAACCTGCGAGCACAGGCCCTTCGAAACTTCGTGTTTTGTATCGCTCATTTTTTCTTCTAATTTACCTGTTTCCTTGAAAATGGATCAGTCATTAGGTTTGTATCTTCGAGAAACGTTAAAAGACTCTCTTCTAAGTGAAAATACCTAAATATCTATCTTGCAGTTTCCGTTACGGTACCCTTTTCTATAGGTCAAATAGTGGAATCACCACCCTTTGTATACCTCTCGATACCACTCTCCTGAAAAAAAGGTACCTCTTTCGGGTCGTTCAATTCTCGCAGGGTCCCGCATTACATGGAGTCACCCGCAGTTACATTTGTGCGACGAAAGACAGAAGGTTTAAAAGGTTTTCCATTTGGCTCGCCGTCTAGTTAACTCTTTCCGCTCCTCGACCAAGTAAAGGAGGGATGATTTTTTCTCTCTATCTTTCTATGATGTTACCAGTTAAATGAAAACTCTTTGGCAGAACTTTTCAACAGTACTATTCAAATCATAGGATTTTAAAAAAATAAATTTGGAATTTTTTTGGTGAATTTTTTAATTTGACCACTATTAGGACCGAGCAAAAGGGTTACCTTGGCCAAGAACACGCGATGTCTGCCATTGAAAGGAAATCACGTGCAAAGTTTATTATATAACCGTCAGTAAAAAGAAATTAATTAAATTAAAATTTTAAAACTAAGAGTAGTTAAGAGGAAGTACGTTCGGGAAGTACGCTCACGTTATGAAAATTGTGTTGGCGGTTCTCAGCATGAACATGATCAAGCAAAAATCGACATGGACTGTAATAATGCGAAGAAAATAATGCCAGGAGCGGGAAAACACCCCGGAAATATTCATGGGAAATTCAGACAGGAGCGTGCTGCGTATGTTATGAAACCTTTCCTCTATTTCAGAACAAAATATGTGATTTTTCCCTCGATCCTCCCGCTCAACCTCGTTCCGAGGGTGCTCTCCTGATCCTACCCCTCCACCCCTGTCGCTGAACGGCTGTTCTTAAGAGACGAATTATCAAAAGCAAACCCAATCCAAAAAGCGCAAAAACGTACCCTATTTCAGACCCGTAAAATATCTCTACTAGACCCAAAACCAGACTCATGGGGACTCTCCGCGCCGCTTATGCCTATACCCCGGCGGCTTATCTAAAGAACACCCCCCCCGGAAGGGCCAAGGCACAATTGCCCATTCCTGAAAAAAAAATGTAAGCGTGCGCGTGCACGTGCATAAAGCCAGATACGAAGGAAAGTAAAAGGTTACCTTCTTTTTTTTTCTGGACACGTGCGACGTCAGGCGAGTGAGGGGCTTACCCATTTTTTTTTGCTTTTTCTTTCTGTGCACGTGCTGGCAACCCGATACATACATATGGCTTGTAAACAAGTTATTTTTAAACAGTTGCTGAATTGCTAGAGACCCTTTCATTGTTTATGTTTTCGTGCTCTTGCAACAAGCAAATTGCCTTTGTAGTATCCTCAGCTATTTGGCGAGTAAATATTTCCGATCAATCTCTTTGTTAAACTGTGTGTTCGTTTGATGGGAGCAAAGGAAATGTAAGGATTGAAGCATGCTTAATCCACCGGAAATTCATCTTTGTAACCAGCGATTGCCCCCCAATGCAATACGTGACCACGAAATGCGAGCGCGGAGCTCTGGTCACGCGAGGCCGCTGGATTCGCGTGTCTTTTCACTGGAATCCATGAACTCACTCGTTACTCCTGTTTCGTGGTTGTTAAAGCAGTGTAAATTTGAACTAGCCCTTTCTTGGTAACAACAGATGTCATTTTTAAAATCCCTCTGAATTAAAAGTCCAGTACATGAAAGTATGTAAATAAAATTTCCTGACTAAAGTACATAGCCTAATTTTGCCTTACGCGCGTGCGCGTGTCATGTCTATGAAGAAAAAAAAGGATTAAAAATGCCAATTTGCAAAATTTTAGCAAAATTCATTGTTCCATCAGTTTTCTTTACGATGTAGTACTGACTTGGATAGCGAAAGTTCGACTAGCTTGTCCGGAGACCTTTTTTTTTCTTCTTTTGCGCTGACGGTCAATAAATCGCCGGCGGTTTTTAATTTTCATAAGCGCGATCGACGATCTCTGAAGAGAAAATATAGGATCTGCGACTATTTACGCTCAGTTATTGTGGGTCTTCAATAGACATCCTGTCCTTCGACTGGAAAAATAACCACTTACTTACGTGCAACTGTTTTTTTATTATAAACAGAGGGCATAAACAATATGGAGATAAAACTCTTACTATGTTACTCTGACACTGCGAGCAGTCTCTCTTTTTCTTCAGATTAGTGAGGGGAGTGCACGAGCGCGCGAGCTGACACGCGAGAAACGAGGGCGCGAGGTCATTTGCGTGTCTCGCGCGTTTTGCTAGACGGACCAAGAAAAAGACAGACTGCTCGTAGTCTATGTTACTCTAAGAATTACCATTGTCAACCAATCAAAACTATTCATTTTCAGACGTGCTTACCTTGCGGTAATATTACTAGCAAGGTAAAAACATA